GAGAACCATCCTCCACCACAAGAACAAACACTACTCAGCCTTCCTCATCTAAGTGTCAATGTTGACGTTTTGGCCAAAGGTTTTGCTCTCTTCCATTATTTGGGGATCGTCTCTCCCATTTGTGATTTTCATAGGAGAAGATTACTTCTGACAGAATGGATTTTGGAGGTTGTAACATGAGGTTATTCCATCCATTTCACCTCCATTCCCCCACCCCACCCTCCTTCCTCATCCTTTTTCAGGGACTCATCTGCTGAAACAGGAAGTCCTATTCCTTCTCCATATAGTAGTCCACAGTTCCAGTTCCTGCCAAACACAGAGGGAAAGGAGTTCTATTCCAAGTAATTTCTGGTTCCCAAAAATAAGAATGTATGGAGACGCATCTTAGATTTCAGGTGGTTGAACATTTTCATCAAAACACAGAATGGGGACACTCATAGCTGTAAATACCATCTCTAGATCTGGGGGATGGGTCTGCAGTCCTTGGCCTTCGTGGTCAGCCAGGAGCACTTCCAATATCACATTCTCCCATTCAGGCTGTCTACTACCCCCAGAGTCTTTATGAAGGCCCTTGAGAAGCCACTCAACTACAACAATCAGGAATAATTGATTTCTGCTATCTTGATGATTGGCTTCTTAAGGGCCATTCATACAACAAAGTTCTTTCCACAGCGAGGAAAGCTATGACCCTATACAACCAGCTAGGACTTGAGCCCAAAAAAGACCAGTCCACATTGAGACCAGTTCAGTGAATAGAGTTTATAAGGAGCAACCTAACATGCCAGAAATATCCAGAGTTTACCCACCAACTGACAGGTTTTGACACTGTCAAATTTGATCTTGCAGGTTCAGGTAAATCTGCAAAGAGCCACAATTTGTCTGCAGCTCCTAGATCATATGGTAGCCTGCACATTTGTCACACTTCATGCCAGATTGTACCTACACTGCTCTCAAGGATGGTTGAGAACTGGTTACACCTCCAACAAGCACAGTCTGAACAAATTACTGTTGATTCCTCATCAGGTTCTACAGTTGATGGAAAGACCTGGACAGTGTCTGTGTTGGCATTCCCTTCATTCTGCCTCCCTACGACTGCCACCATTGTACAGTGCATTTCTCATAGGGTGGCAGTCGGCGGTATAATATCTTCAAACACATACCATTCAAGGCAAATGGATTGCCCAAGAGTCCGCTTTCCATAGTAACCTCCTGGAACTCAGATCAGTTAGATTTGCCTGCAAACGTTTCCTTCCCATGATCAAGGGCTAATCTATTGACAGACAACAGAACCAGCGTGCATTATATAAATTGTCAAGGAGGAGCAAGTTTCCCTTCCCTTTGTGCAGAAGCAGTAAAATGGTAGAAGTGGCACATAGCGTGTCGGATTCTCTTCTCAGCCTCATACTTACTGAATCTTTAGAACACTATATCCAATGGCTCAAGCAGACACTTCTGCTAGGACTAGGAGTGGGAATCAAATACCTAATTCTTGAGCATATATTCCTCACCTGGGGTTTTCCAGAAACAGACCTCTTCACCAGTGTCCTCAGCAGAGGGTGTCGGATGTTCGGATCAAGAGGGGTCTAGAGACCATCAATCTCAGGGAGATGCCTTCCTCATCTTCTGGTCAAGGAATCTCCTCTGTACCTATCCACCACCACTGCTGCTCCTCACAGTACTAAACAAAATCAGTCAGGACAGAGCTAAAGTCATCCTAATTGCACTGATTTGGCCAAGGCAAATATGGTTTCCTTGCCTGATTCACCTCACATCTCACTACAGCTTCCAACCATTCCTGACATGCTGACTCAAGAACTGATCTCAGTTTGAACACGCAGTAGCTCAAGGCTTGGTTTCTAGATGGTTCTCTGGGGTAGAGGTCTCCTGTTCAAGAGAGGTACAAGAGGTTTTGTTGAATAGCAGAAAAGCATCAACTGGAAAAACTTACCTGCAGAAATGAAAGATTCCACCATTGTTGTATCCCCTGCTGAGTCTTCCCTTTTGGATGTCTTAGATTACCTGTCAAGTTTGAAGAATTCATGCCTCCCTCTGAGTTCTGTTAGCAGCTATCACAGCTTTCCATTGCCCTGTTGATTGGCTTTCAGTGTTTGCTCACCCCATCACTTCCAGATTCTTCAGAGGGTTGGCTGACTTCTTCCACATGTCAAAGAACCCACTCCTATATAGGACTTGAATTTGGCCCTCAACTTTCTGGTGAAGCCTCCATTTTGAGTCACTAGCTAAGTGTGTCCTTCTACGCTTGTCTGTGAAGACTGTATTTTTAGTGGCCATCACCTCCACTAGGAGAATTGGTGAGCTTGGTGCCTTAATGGTTGGTCCCTTTCTACACAGTTTTCTATAAAGAAAAGGTATGTCTTTGGTCACATTTCCCTTTTTTACCCAATGTAACCTCAGACTTTAATATCAGTCAGGTCATCGGCTGCCAGTGTTTCATCCTAAACCTCATCTGACTAGGGATGAGGTTTAGGATGCACCTTATGCACCTTAGACATCAGGAGGGTATTGGCTTTTTATTTGGAAAGGACTAAACCCTTCAGAGTCTCTCCCAGGCTGTTTCTGTCTTTCGTGGACAGAATTAAAGGAGCCCCTCTTTCTTCCTAAAGACTCTCTAAGTGGGTTTCCAATTGTATCATCTTCTGCTATGAGGCTGCTAATGCTAAACCTCCTTTTAGGGTTGTAGCCCATTTCACCAGATCTCAGTCTACTTCCATAGGCCTGTTTAAGAATGTATCCATTGGTGAAATATGCAAAGCTGCTGTGGACTTTCATCTACACCTTGTCAGAACACTATGCCTTAGTACTCGCCTCTAGGGCAGATGCTGCCTTGGGGACTGCAGTTCTGCAAACTATGTTAGACTACACTCCAAAGCACCCACCTCCTTTAGAAAGTACTGCTGAGAAGTCACCTGGAGTGGAGCATAGGGACGTTACCTGACAGAGAAGGAAAGGTTACTTACCCTCTATGGTAACTGGAGTTCAAGATGTTTGACCCTATGGTGCTTCACTACCTGCCTTCTTCCTCTCTGCCTCAGAATCTTTGTGTTATAGGACTTTGTAGTAGAGAAGGAACTGAGGGCAGTTCATCTGACACTTCCTGCATACCCTCAGTCTGGGGCATGAATACGCTAGGATGCATGTGTGGACCAAATGGGCACACTGCTATCAAAAGCCTCTGATCAAAGGTGCATGGAGTTCATGTGCACCTAAGTGTAACACCCAACAAACACCTTGAAGAATTCCAGTTACTGTACAGGGTAAGTAACATCTCCTTTTGTATGCCTGTCACTTTAGCATTACAAAGATTAAATGTAGCATCTAAACTACCCACAATGGACAACACAAATATCCATTCTTTGTACCTTTGTAATGTGTTAACATTTGAGAAGTGTTTTAAAAGTGTATCTATTTAACAATACCATTCCAGTCATAACCCAGTGATTGTCATAGTTGAGCAAATGCTTTATCATAAAGATGCATCTCATCCCACACTCCGAAGATCTTTGCAGTCAGGTTCTGGTGACACACCTGAAAGAGCAAGATACAGTGGCAGTGACCTTCCACTGAAAGCATCCTACATTAAATCCCTAAAATGTCTAACTTGACACTGGTAGCAAAAGTATCTAATCAACAGTTGCAGTGCTGAAAACATTAAGGCAGCTATTTCCAAGCTACATATGGGTTTTTGCAGTAAATTAGAATCAATATATTGAATTACATCTGGAAACAAATGGGAAGCCAGTGGAGTTAACTGAGTATAGGCATAATTAGCTCTCGCTGACCCATTTTTGTAAGCAATAGGCTGCAACTTAGTGCACTGTAGATGAAGATTCCAGCTAGTCCTCAAGAGGGCACAGCAACAGCCTAACCTGAAGACAGCAGAAGCATGAATGACTAGTCAAGTTTGCATCTTCCAGGAAAGGCTGCAACCTCTTTGTTGCAAATTATAAAATATAATAATAATCAAGTATGAGCCACAACTTTGGAAATTCAAGAGCAATGAAGAAATTGAAGATTTGTGGCAAAAGTGATGTCTAATTTTTGATTGCATCTGGTCCCTCTCCTTGCTAGTTTTCTTTTCTAAACTTCAGTTCTCCTGGAGTAGCTGTATACTTCAAGTTGAATGTGATGCATAGGCTAGAATTTCCATAAGTCATCTAGGCTCCTTGAAATTTTTTGGTGTGAGCTCCACAGGGAAATTAGTTAAGGTATAGATGGTATCCAAATTTCATTGTTCTGTTTTCATTCCTGTTAACTCAACGATGAATATCATGTGACCTGAAGGCTAATTCCACCAGTTATGATACCATTTCTATCGTATCTACAACACATAATCACCTCTGAAATTTGAAGACTTCTCAGTTTTTATTTTTACCTAACATTGCTGTCAGTTGAAAGGCTAGGTCAGATGCTCCTTATGAGAGAGTGCTTCAACACTCCCTTTTTAAATACCCAGTGCTCCTCTGGGTATGTATAGTTATAATTTCCAAGATAGCTGTGGAAGCAGTATCTAGAAGGAAAAACCTAGGTTTTTAATACCTGAAGTTCTCCGAATGTGTCGCCTCAACCAATCCCCGTTTCCATTCTTCCCTTCCCTACTTCTTTGGAGCGTCTCTGTATTCTGTATAAAACTGAGGAAGTGGCTGTGCACCTCTTTATTACTTTGGCATTAGAAAGAGCTAAAAGGGACATAAACAATTGCTTTTAGCAGTCCTGAGACATATGGACTCCAAGGGTGTGGATCTGTGAAAGCAACATATTCAAAGACCTCCGTTTACTGGAAAGTGCCTTGAATATCTTTTTGGAATATGTGTCTTTTCCGCATGCGTGAATGGCTATTGCTCTTTTGTCCTTGGTTACTAATTGAGGTAATTTAATATATAATATTTTACAGGGAAAACGAACAGGTATTTTTACATGAAAACCCACAGAATTGTATGTATAGAGCTATGACTTTTTGCATGTTTTTCTTTTTCTTGCAGTGGAAGCTTTAACGTTCCCTCCTACATCAGGGAAGTCATTCATTATGGGAGCAGATGAAGCCCTTGAAAGTGAGCTGGGTCTTGGAGAATTGGCAGGCCTTACAGTTGCCAATGAGGCAGATTCACTGACTTACGATGTAAGTGGTAGTTTAAAATAAGCCATTTGAGGTTCTGCCATCTATGTGTGTGTGAAGATCTCAGTGATGGGTACAGACTACAGGAGGAACCCCAATGTGCAACATGTAGAATAAAGAAAAGTGTTTGCAAAATATCCATTGTTTGCAAAATGATGGATAATTCTCTTTATTAAAAGAGAAAAAAGTTAACAATGACCTTTTAAGGGTCTTCTGCTGTCTTAACTCAAAATAGCTGTTCTTCATGTATCGTAATTGCTCCTCAGATCCCCACTCTTGGGGTACGTCTACACTGCAATAAAACACCTATGGCTTGCCTGTGTCAGCTGACTTGGGCAGGCTGCAGGGGTATAAAATTACAATATAGTTGTCTGAGCCTGGATGTCTACACTGCAATTTTAGAGCTCCGTGAGCCCGACTTGGGCCTGCTGCACGTGTTTAATTGCAGTGTAAGACATACCCTTGGAGTCTGTGTGCCCATGCCACAGACCTTAGAACTATTGAAAGTCAAATAGCCTTAATAGGTGATAGCACTGTGCACATATAGCTCCTCGCTAAGATTCTAAGATCCACGATTCCCTCCTTTGTTTCTTCTGTATAGCCTGTTAATGAATCTCACAACTGCTGATTTAGAGCCAGATGTCAGATTTTTCACGTCTTTAAAATCTTTTACTTTCTAGGAAAGTGTATTTCAGCTATTATTTGTTTTAACCATCTGTCCCTGTGTTCTTTCCTTGGTGATCTGGCAACCACAGATCAATCCCAGTACAGTGTTCTTTTGCAGATGTTAAGGAATTGCAAACAGTAGCAAATGGAAGGTTTCAGGGTAGGGGCTTTAGTTTTCATCCGACCTGACCGTACATGTAGTAAGGGACAAAGAGTCCTGTGGCACCTTATAGACTAACAGAAGTGATGGAGCATAAGCTTTCGTGGGTGAATACCCGCGTCTGACGAAGTGGGTATTCACCCACGAAAGCTTATGCTCCAATATTTTCGTTAATCTATAAGGACTCTGTCGCTTTTTACAGATCCAGACTAACACGGCTACCCCTCTGATACATGTAGTAAATTACCATAGGGTGTTATAGCTGTGTGATTTTTTTTTTTAAACTCTGGAATAAAATCATCCCCAGCATTTCAAATTCCAGAAATTAACATGCAGATCTTTAAAGCTATAGTTCAAAAAAGGCATATACACCCAGACACAGATGTTACAGAGCTGACTGCAGTTTACTCAAAGACATTGAGTAATTTTGCAGCAGCAGCCATCACTATATTCTGCCAGGTATTAAATTTGTCCTTTGCAAGTCATGATTTGTTTAGCAACGAGAGAGGACATTACTGTTTAGGTACATTGGATCTGGTAGCATGATCTCCTAGCTTTGGCTCAGGGCCGCCTCTGTTTCTACTAAAAATGACATATGATTTTCTTTCAAGAAGGGAGGGAAGCTGTTACATTCTGATCCCACTTCTCTTCATTTGGTAGTATAGATTCTTGACTCTTAACTGCTGAAATGTCGAGTTGAAGATATTTGTCAAGAGTTTTTGGAGTCCTCTAATCCATTCATATGAAAGAGCTTACACTTCGTCTGTTTGCAATAAAGGAAGAGTCTCGAGGATCTGCAGTCTTTTTTAACTGAAAAGGAACATTGAATTTAATCTAAAATAATTTGTCACTCCAAGAACCTCGTTTACAGATTTAGTAACCACTATTTCTCCTTTAATGCTTATTGAGCCGGGTTTTCTAAAATTTTAGGTTTCTATGCTAACTGCGTGTTCTCATTATTACTTCAATATTTATTAAACTCTGGGAAACAATTTCACTTTTTAAGTCTCTGATACATATTACATACTGTTTGAAGATATGCTGGATAGAATGCATAGATTTTTCAATATTGAAATCTCTGAGCTGTATTCTATTAAAGACCAATCTTTCAAAGGGGCATCAATCCTCTCTGTTTGCCTGCAATTAATTATAGACACACATGTTGGGATCTACATGAAATGTGCTTCACAAAAAATATTATGATACCTTTAGTCCTGATTTAGTTTTTGTATCAACATTTTATTAGTGGACTTTATCTGTTATTGCCAAGCAAATGAGTGCAGGGGACTTGATTAGATGATCTCTTGAGGTCCATTGCAGTCCTGTGATTCTGTGAAACTTAGCGCAGGCAGTGGTTGATGACAAAGCCCTAAAAGATCATCCAATGTTTTATTTCAGCCTTTGTCCAAGGGAGCTGTGTTGAAATGACTGCCTTACAGCATTTCTTTTATGTTACTGAGATTGGATTATCATTTGGGTCACTTTTAAAAAGCAGTTATTGTCAGAGAAGTATCTTTGTAAATATAACGAGGAGTCCTTGTGGCACCTTAGAGACAAACAAATTTATTTGGGCATAAGCTTTCGTGAGCTAAAACCCACTTCACGTTGTTTTTGCTGATACAGACTTAACACGGCTACCACTCTGAAACCTTTGTAAATATGGTCTTACTCAACTGTTCTGCTTCCTTTTTTTAATTCCAAGTCATCACTGCTTATTTTACTGATAAAAATAAGTTTGTACTGATCCTGTTAGCACAACAAAGCCGATACATCTCTAAGAAAATAAATTGGATTATTTCCGGGCTTGTCCATTGACAGAATTGCTAGCCACATTTCCATCACAGATATTTTACCTTAAGGTCCACATCCCAATTGCATCCTAAGTATTCCTATAATGCACCCTGTTTGAGTCAAGGCCACTGTTGTTAATATGTGAACCAGAAAGAACACAGCTGAACTTCCATATCCTAGGCTGAGTTGGCAGTGCTGGTTGTTAGGAAGGGTATCTTGTGACTTGTAAACTGAGAAACTTTGAGTCACTGAGCGATAATAAATGTGACTCACAGAGCATTTCATGTTTGCACAGAGGCATGTCCATATAGGAGGACTTCCACCCTCTGTTTTTATGGGATGCTTCTCTTTATCATTTTTAAAAAGTAATCCAATTTATGTTATTTATGATCTTATTTTTAATTCTGGTCATAAACTACTGCTACTTTTTAAAAATATAAAAGTGAGGAAGAAAAGTAAGGTGCAAATAATCTGACTTTTGTATATACTACCTATATATGTAAATATGAGTTTTCTAATGCTTGGTAAATAGAGTGCTGGTTAGTTTAAAGACCTGGAGATATGAAAATGAAGTAACAATTTGAAGTAATCCCTAAATGCTAGATTAAAATTCTGATTTCTCCTTCTGTTGTGAGTCCACCAAACTAAGTATAAATTTTGGGTATTTTTTCCAAATAGATAGCAAACAATAAGGATGCACTGAGGAAGACCTGGAATCCCAAGTTCACATTAAGAAGTCATTTTGATGGAATAAGAGGTCTGGCTTTCCATCCAGTTGAACCAGTCTTAATAACTGCATCCGAGGACCATACGTTAAAAATGTGGAATTTACAAAAAACAGCACCAGCAAAAAAGTAAGGCTATTCTTATTTAAGTGTTGTTTATGTGAAAACATCTAAACTAATTATTTAGAGAAACAGTAGCAACAAAGAAAAGGTCATTTGGGGCTTGATCCAACTGCAGGTGGAGTCAATGGGAGTCCTCCCTTTTCACTTCATTGCGAGGGGGCATGAGGCTGTTGTAAGATATAGACCTTAAAAGAATACCAGGCTGAAGCCATGTAACTTCATTAATCTCTTTTCTTTTCATTATGAAAATACCATATGATTTCTGTTTACTGTACTTCCATATAGATACTGTTATATTATTTTACTAGGAAAACTTATTTAAAGGTGTGACCTATTTAATTACACACACACACACATTAGTAAGTGATATATATTTACTAATAAAAATATGAACAGACATGAGATCAGATTCTCTGGCCCACTCTGCACCTTGTGCGCTGCTGGATCTGGATGCATCTCCTCTGCTGGAGATTTCCTGAATAGCCGGGCAGTAACTATGCCGCCACTCCTAGAGTCATCAGAGTGATTGGTGGGGAGAGACTTGGCCAGAGCATGGTGTACTCTTGCAGTTCCTTAGGGATAATTACCAGCTGGCAGAGTCTAGAGTATGTTCTTAGCTGCTGTAAATTCACTTGGGGCTTTGGCATAACTGACCTTAGAATCAGTGAGCTGTAATCAGCTCCCTCCCTCTCTCTTGTGGCTGAGCACACTATAAAATGTGCCCATAGAATATACATAATCTATTCAAAGTTTATTCGCTCTTTTTGGTTTGATTGTTGTAGGATTGCTTATGATTAGTCTGATTCCATTTTTTTGTTTGTTTGTTTGGCTGCTTTACGAAAAAAATCTTTCCAGTATTGCTTTTTGGAGATGTAAGATGGTTGGGGAAAACTTTCATATGAGTTTACAGCCGTTGGACAAGTTAGCTGTTTCAGCATTCTGTTTTCAAAAAATATTTTGGGGAACACTTGTGTACTGTAACATAAACTCTGAAACCGCTCTCCTGTGCTTTTGTTTAGGAGTGCCTCTCTTGACGTAGAACCTATATATACATTCAGAGCACATAGGTAAGAAACACTATTGTACTCTGAGAAATAACAGTTTTTATGTGTTTAAAGTAGTTTTCAAGTATTAATTTCTACCATGTATAAAAAATCAGCTAGTCTTTTTATTAATTTAGTTTCCATATTATCCATTTTAAATATTTGTATGTGTGTTTGGATCTATTCTGAATGTCTTTATTAGAGTTGGAGCTTGTTAAAGCTACCAGTTTAAAAAAACAAATCTAATTATAAGTATTGCAAATATAGGGAACTTTTGTGCTTGTTACTGCAGTACAGAATTTTTTTTTCTATTAAATGTGTGTACAGTATGAAGCTGTTTGCAGGCAAAATAGTTAAGTTGAATTATATTTTAAAACTGGTAGGAACAGGCACATCGTTAGTGCTGCTTTTGTACTTCGTGCAATTGATTTAATCATTAATTTGGTCTAACTTTAATAATATGACTGGACACTGAGGTGGGGGAGCCTTTTTAGTCAAAGTCAAAAGCACTATCTCAGACCACCTGAAATGTGCAGTATTTTTGTTGCAGTGTTTCCATCTAGTGAGTCTCAGTTAAGAGTTCACAAGACCAAATGTTTTGTTTGAACATAGATTTAAGAGTTATTTTTCTTACATGTAATCAGTAAAAAGAGTTGAAATTGATAATTTGGTTTCTGTGGGTTTTTTTCCAGTGGCCCAGTGCTCTGTGTGGTAATGAGCAGTAATGGTGAGCAGTGTTATAGTGGAGGAACTGATGGCCTCATCCAGGCCTGGAATACGACAAACCCAAATATTGACCCATATGATTCTTATGGTACGTTTTTGTCCCACTTGGCACGTTTTTGTCACAGACACTTAGCAAGTGAAAATGAGGTATCTAGTGAAAACTTGAACTTTTGCTGGATTTAGCAGCACTGTGAACTGTTTTGCGTAGTGGTATTCAGAACTTAAAAGGAAAAGGTAACTATTGGCTTTAGTATCAAAGGCCTTGACTACATAGTGAGTTAGTACATGCAAGCTGCAGTGTGAATCTACAGCACACCAGTTTGCTGTGCACTAACTCGCCATGTAGACAAATCATAAGTAAACTGCTGCGTTAGTTCTTGGATTGACTCTTTGTTACGGGCTGGCAAAAGGGTGGAACCTGCCAGTTTAACAAAGAACAAGGGCTATGTCAAGAGACTTCTTAACATGATGTTTCCTGTATGATTTGTATGAAAGTTGGCTTTTGAAAAATAAGCTGACATGCTATTTATGGCATTTTAATCTTAACTTATGTTTAACTTATTGAATGCTAATTTCTCCCTCATGTAGCATAATTTCAACTTCTTTTTTTTCCTGTTGGTTCTGTTGATATTATACATGAACACTTTCAGATTGGAAAAGGCTAGGAATACATGGAATTATCCTTTCATTTCTCATCCTCTGTACACATTATGAAGATATCAGAATGTTTCTCCCTTTCTAAGTGCTTCTTATTATTTTTATAATACCACTGGGGTGAATAGCTTTGTAGAAACATGTACGAAGACAAGAGCTGTGCTGAGGAAATGTGTAAATTATAGAATTTAATAAATAACAGTGGTGGTCATGGAAAAAGGGGTCAAAAGAAAAACTTTGGAAAGGAAATACAGTTTTGGGAGACTATGGGTTTGCAAAAAAACCCAAATCATACCTATTTTTCATTTGTGTGTTAGTTTCTGGTAAATTTTGGGGGTTTTAGGATTATGTTATAAATTAAAGATCGTGTACTAGTGGAAAGAAACAAATTTGAAGAGGATCAAGATTGCTTGGCCTACACATAGTCTGTTCTAAGAATTGGTGGCAACATGGTGAAAGGTATAGAGCTGCAATTGAGAAAAGGAAACAGCTGGGGAACACTAAAGAGAAGAGTGCACATAGGGAGCAAGAGGAGGCAGAAGATAGCTTAAAATATAGGCAGGGTCTGAGCTGTGTGTATAGGGCCTTACGATGAGGCTGAGGGGTTTGGCCTTGATTTAGAAAGAGATGTTAACCCACTAAAGAGACTCAAGGAGCAGGGAGAGCACCAGGAAAGGAAGGTGCTTTACGCTCTACGGTATTTTGAATATACTGAACGGGTAGGAAAGAAGCACAGGCCAGAAAGGAGGAGGTGGCAGTAGTCAGTACAAGATAGTAAGAGTTTTAGTGGTAGCGGTATAGAGGAAGTGGATTTTTAGAGATGTTGTAAAAGCCAATTTTATTGTTTAAAAATACAAATTATATAACTGAATTCCAGATACCCTAGTGAAATTTGAGTACCGTTACACTGAATAAGCTAAACTTCTTCAGTGATAGGCCCAGCCAGATCCTCTGTTTTTAATATTTGATTCTATATACAGCCAAAGAAATAACTTCTAATTCAATGCCTGGTTTCTCTTTATTTAAATTTTGTTTCAAAACATTTATCCCATATAACTTTTTTCACAGATCCGTCTGTTCTAAGAGGTGCATTTGTAGGCCACACAGATGCAGTATGGGGCTTGGTTTATAGTGGAGCACACCAGCGTTTACTATCCTGTTCATCAGATGGCACCGTACGTTTATGGAAAGCTTCAGAAATTGCTCCAGCTCTTAATATATTTAATGATAATCAAGGTACAGAATAATTTCCTACTTAAATGCTTATAGGTTAGCTGTTATAATTTCTGTTGTTGTCCCACACATTCCTCCATGCTGCTCTTGAAGACTCCATCTTAGTTTTAATAGTAGTTTTTAAACAAATGCAACTTTTTTGTAAGTATTTTTACCCTTTAAGTTACTTGTGTCCTCTAACTTTGTCCTACAGATGTTTTTCCTCTGGGAATTAGTCTTAGAGCTCCATGCAAGAAATGAACATACTTCAAAGTAGAAATGGATCTCCTATCCCAGCCCAAGCTCTAAATAAAGCATCTTCATAAAAAATATTCTCTGAGATAGTATATCCACCAACTAAGATTAAGTTGGTGACCATATTAGATAATATGGGCTTAGATTCTGGGTCCTTACTCTTTCTAGATAATAAAATCTGTTATAAACCAATGAACCACTGTAGAGTATCACTTCAAATAATGACTTGTATTTATTATATTATCAAGTGCAAGATGGCAGTCAGTGTTTCAATTGATAAGTAATGTTTGAAAATCATATAGTTTTAGACAGCGTTAACTGTTTTCTTATGTCATAATGAAACTATATTATTTTTTTATACCAAAATGTTACCTGGTTTCATGCTTTTACCAATTAATTCATTTCTGAAAAATGTGCTGCTTTTCTGTAGAAATGGGAATCCCTTCTTCTGTGGACCTTGTGAGTAGTGACCCAAGCCACATGGTAGCATCATTTAACAGTGGGCATACTTGCATTTTTAACATGGAGACACGGCAACGAATTCTTACCTTGGAGTCCAACATAGATACCAGTATGTATCCAAAATGAAAACATTTCCTCATTCAGAGAGGTTGATATTTTTATTGTTGAAAGCTTGTATTCTTTTACTCAAAATGAGAGTATGTTCACAAAAAATAGGCAAGTTGGGTGACAGGTGAAATTATAGAGTGAAATGCAGTTGCTGGATTTTAAGTAGTGATGGATAATTTTACAGCTAATCCTCTAGACCTCATGCAGGGCTCCAGCAACACAGTGAACCACAGATCTCTGGTAAAATGTCAGAAGAAATACATATTTTGAACATGCATTGTGTGACTCATAATTCTATTGGGATATTTTTAAGCAGTTGCTGTAATAGTAAAAATTAAAGCAGAGGAAATAGGTTGGGGGAATCCATAGCAAAACCCCTCCTCTATGTATCCCCATGCATGGATATTATATGTAAGCATATCAATGTTAGGGAAGTGTGTCTGAGTGACAGTGAGTGTGCATGTGTGTCACTTTTAAAGTGCTGTGGAATGATTTAGGATAAAAGGCACTATATAAAAGTAAGTTATTGCTTGAGAGAGCTTCCATTACAGACACATGGTAGATTTAATGCCTAGGAAGATTTTTAACCCAAAGCTTGTTACTAATTTTATTTTTTCAAAGGAACATGTGTGCTGGAGTTTGCAATCTTTAGAGATTCACTATATATTTTTTTCATAGCTGCTAACTCTTCCTGCCAGATCAACAGAGTTGTCAGCCATCCAACGCTTCCTATTAGTATCACTGCCCATGAAGACAGGCACATCAAATTCTATGACAACAATACAGGTAAGTGTTCTTTCACTAGATACTGCCAACAAACTCAAATTTGTGGGCAGTCTCATGAGAGAGGTCAAGAATTGAATGACCTTTGACACCGAACTATCGGTCCAGACTGCATCTGTAGAAATGTGAGGCAATGTCGGGAAACTTGCACTGTGGCAGTCTGCAGTTTCTGGTTTTAAATGTCTCACGTGGTAGAGATTTCTCCATTTCCCTTGTAGGGCTATTGCACAGACCTAGTGGAAACTCATTCTTAGGAAACTTCCCCTCATGTTGGTCTAAAATTTTCATTTGCTGATTTTTCATCTTTTTTTTTTCCTAATTCTGCCTGCTTGGATCCTCATAAGCAGTTAAAAGCAGCCTAGGCATCTCTGTAGGATTGCTGAGCACTGGGTCTGGCCTGGCCTGTTTGGGGAAGCAGTAGTTTCCTTTTGAAGTTCCACTAATGACATTGGTCCAGACTCAATGGGAGCGCTCCTCCCGCAATGTTGCTTCAAAGAAAATGGCCTCTTCTCCAGGAACAACTGGGCAGTTTTAATTCGGTTTAAGTCTGGACGGGGAGCTGAATTAACATTCCCAGTTCAGTTTTAAGGGATCCAAATACCTGCACAGAGGTGCTGTGGGATTCAATGGCAGTAGTAAACCAATCCTTTCCCAGCAATCTGTGGCCCTCTTGCTATTGCCAATTCACTTTCTTAAAAGTTGTAGTGCACACAATTCAGTATTCCCAGTGTTTTTTTTACAGTAAAACACGAGAGCTTAAAGTGCCATCTGAGCTCATGGCAAGGGATAGTAGAAGCTGGAGGGAAAAGATGAAAATAAATAAACCTATTTTTTAAAAATTGAACAAGTAGACAAAAAGCCTAAACCTTTTTCCTGTTTTTTTACCCTTCTTTTGTTAATTTCCTTCCACAAACATACAGAACACTTGTGGGTTTTAAATGAAGGAGCTGCTATAATAGCAATAAGTCATGCAAGGTTCAACAGTAGTAAAGGACTGATTCCGTTTTGGAATGATTGAAGGCACTCAACTGTATTTACCCAAAATGTGGATGATTGCCTACCGATGCACACATTGTTGTGGCTTATTGCTGAATAACTGACCTCTAAGTCAGTTAGGAAGCAGAGACTTGTATATGCACTCTGGCTGCAGCATCAGCTCAGGAAAAACTATTGATTGTTACAGTCCACAAAGTGTGTGTTGTATATGCAGTGCAATGGATTAACACAGTTGTTGACGTTAGAACTGTTGACCACTTAAGCAAATTAACAATATAAAATGAGTTGATACATAACCATACTCACCCAGTCATGAGAAAGTATTTTTCTTTAATATGATATAAAATGTGAAAGGCTCCAATCAGTGAGAAAAAAACAATTGACAGAATTAAAATGTTCATTCTCTTTCAGATTCAGTGGGGCCATACAAAGTAAATTGTCATAATATGTTGAATTACAAAAATTAACTGTAGAAAAATAACACGGATAATCTTTTCTTTCAAAGGAAAACTGATCCACGCAATGGTAGCCCACTTAGATGCAGTCACAAGTTTAGCTGTTGATCCTAATGGCTTGTATTTGATGTCTGGCAGTAAGTACATCAAATGTTAACCTCTTCCTTTATCATAATAACTTTAATGTTTTTTACAATTAAGACAACATATTTCCCTCTTTCTCTATGTAGGTCATGACTGTTCAATTCGCTTATGGAACCTTGAAAGCAAAACCTGTATTCAAGAATTTACTGCTCATCGCAAAAAATTTGATGAGTCTATTCATGATGTGGCATTTCACCCATCCAAATGTTATATTGCCAGTGCAGGAGCAGATGCTCTGGCTAAGGTCTTCGTATGACACAGTGCTTCCCTTTCAACTCTAGCTCTTGTACATTTAACCAGATGCACAAAAGAGAGGGAGACGTGAGCAAGAATCTTCATTTCCTACCCTGAAATTAAGAGAACGTTTGTAATGGTTTAGTTTTTGCAGGGTGCTCTTTTCTAAATTAAGGTTTCTTCAGGTTTCTGCGAACTCAGCCGGTGCTGAGAGCTTGGAAACTCTCAGTTTCAAATGTCAACAAAAGAAATGCTTTTATTTCTGAGGGTGTGAATATTTGTCCAGGCAGGCCTTGGGCGAAACTAGGTATCTTTATTCTCTGCTAATAAAATGGGACACTATAGAGGGATGGTCAAGTAAATAGGTGGCCTGATTGCTGCAGGGAGAGGGGAGGGGAACTTCCAAGTGTTTCTCATCAAGGAATCTTATAAACAGCATACTTAAATTAAGTAACCTAAAAAGGTGACCGTTCACATGCCCATTGGGCTACCATGTGAATTTCACTTGTTCATCCCTTTGGTATTAATGACTAGATGGTGTTTAGAGGAAAGTAGCTGATCATTAATCTCAGCCCACTTGGCTGCTAGCATAAGGTAAATTTGTTTAAAAGGAAAAAAATACTAAATTTTAAAAATTATTAATGCAGTAATGTTTTGTTAAATCTATTATGTTATACAGCAAATATTTAGTTTGCAGGAAATGTATACATTTTATTAATTTTGTGGAAGAATGTGATAGCAAGTGGTTAGAAGCTAAGGCCATAGTCTAATCACAATTAAGGAGACAGGCTGAAATAGTCTGTATATACTGTAATAAGGGATTTAATTTATTCAAATTTATAATACTGTTTATTGTTGGTCAGGCACAAGAAATTATAATAAAACTTCCTACAGCAATCTCTGGCAGAGTTTAGCCAACACATCTTCATTTTTTCCCATTCCTTCAAGAAAGGGAGCCACTGTGGATGAAAATCATGATTTCATTTTAAGAATAAACATGATTTCATAGTGCTCTGTGTGAGCCTTGCTATCAGATTAATGCAGTAGGTGCCTTTACAAAGTTCCACCAGTTTGAAAGATTCTACTTGTTCTAGAGATATTCCCTAACTTTCAAACCGTTGGAACTTTTGAAATGTTCCCCCTGTATGGAGCATGCTGTGCCATTGATCTTTAAAGTGTGGTTATGTGAAAAGTGACCGTTTAAAAACGGCACCTTTTTACTCAGCAGATCTGGTCCCTCGCTATATTCAGAGTATATCTGTTTACTTTAGTGACAGAAATAAGTTTGCTGATTTTTAGTCCTGTTGTCCCTGCAGGGAGTATCACATGTGAGAAAGAGTAAGGTGGATTCTATTCTGTTGGGCACCATCAGACTTGGTTACCTTTCTGTAAATCCATTTAAGGCAGTGGTGTCCTCAGTTCCACTTGTGGAATGTAATTAGTTCTGCAGATTCTTTATTACTGGTGATGATGTGAGAAGGAAAGAACCCCACCTGACTCTCAAATCCCAGGTTGAGTTTGGCTAGAAGTTAATAAAGAAATCTTTTCTTTTAAACTGACATGTTGGAAATAGGAGTCATTGAAACACAGTAAACATAGGACACACTGCTATTTTTAGAGTGATTTTTCAGAGCAGAACCACACTTAGGCAGAACTCCCCATTGATTACAATAGGGAGTTTAGATTAACATTCAATGTCACTCTGTTCCTTTATGATAAAAAGTTGCCCCAAACTGTTTGAGGCTGCAGTGTACTATATTTAATGCTAAATACCCTGGAATACCTTTTACTGCTCAGCATATTCAGATATTTCAGTTTGTGATATTGATGTACAATATATTTCCATTAAATAACATTAGAATTTTACCACTAAACAGATTACTATAATAACACAAATTATTTAGTTTTATATGATAAAAAGGGGAAATCTGGCTGCAAAACTGAGCATTCAACTTTGTGAAAAATCATTTGTGTACTTGACTTGTTCTTTCAGTGTCATTATTTTATTTCTTTTTGGAAAGGAAATTACAAAGATTTATTTGAAAAATTCTAAAAGTTATGTATATTATAGATGTGTATATATATATTGTAAACATGTATTAAATCTGTCTTGTAAGGGAAGACTTCATGGGTGCATTTTAATGTTTTAGTAAGTATTAAGAATTCTTCTCAGTTTGTGTATACAAAGGATAATGATAAGTATGAAATGAATGTTGTGCTATTTGCTTACAAAATATAATACATAGTTACAGGTGTTTAGATTGCTGTACATAAAACTAATAGGCCAGCATGCTTGTTTTTAAAGACTGTCGTTCTAACTGATTAAAAGTTGAATGTAAGAAAAAGCGGCTAGTCAAATGTGAATTGAAAGATGTTCCATTCTTACTCTTGAGCTCTTGCTCAAACTGAAAAGTGAATCTTTTAAAGCTGGCAATAGCTGGAAGATGAGGTGCCTTTAAAAAACAAATGTAGCCTTACAAAGAAGTTGTGGAGTATATATTTTTGTGCTGGTCTTCATAATTGATGTTAATGTCTTTTTTACTGTATCTGCTCACGTACTAGCAGGACTGCAGGATACTGTGCATGAGCCTGTCAGCTCTTCTGAACATCATCATAGAAGTTAGGGATGGAAAGGACCGCTTAGGCCGTTTTGTTCATCAGCCTGACAAAGTAGGATTGTTACCCTATTGTGCGTTTTAAATAGCGTTTTGACCAGTGAGGTTTTATATATGTCCCAAATGATTAGGCTTTCGTTGCTTCCCTTGGAAGACTACTCCAATGCTTAGATATTTCACTATTGGAAAGTTTTACCTGATATTCAGTCTAAATATTTCTTTTCTTAATTTCATCGCATTATTCCAAATTACAGTCCTTTTGTACTGCATAGTTCCTCTCCATGCTTGGTATTTACACCCTGAAGGTATCTGTAGATTCTTATCATATCCCTTTCTTAATTGTCTCTTAGGCAAGCTATACATGTTAGCTCTTTTCATTTTTTCCTCACAAGTCAACTCTCTACAACCCCTGATCATTTCAGCCCTTTCAGTTTGTCAGTTTATTTCTTCATAACTTGCTGTCCAAAACGGTGCACACACCATTCCAGATGCAGTGCCATCAGCACTAGTATAGACAGGGTCTGTTCACCTGTGTGTTCTATGATGTGATGCTTCTACTCACGCAGCCCAAAATTGTATTGGCCTTTTTGCTGCTGTCAGATCGCAAACTCAAATCCCAGTTGTATCTGCTATCTTCTTTAGACAATTTTCAACATTATTGCTTCCCAGGTTGTTGTTTCTTTTTTAGTTATGTGCAACTCCTCCCAATTCAGTATAGTCTGTAAATTTCATTAATGTGTATTGGCCAATAATGAAAATATTCACAGGATTGGACCCAACTCTGTTCCTTGCTGTATCTCCACTAAACATTTCCATACCCATGATGCATTACATTCTGCCATTATGCTATTTCCAAATCAAGTTCACATGGCAATTTTGTAGTTTTGTTTCATAGAAATTTCAATGTAGGTTAACCTGTGTTATTAATTTTTGTTTTTAGTAAAGCCCAGTTGAAAGGAGAAATTACAACCCCTTTATCTGGTGAAAAGGATCTAATAAGCTTAAACATCCTCCTTTTCACTTCCAATTTACAAGGATAAACCGTATGCTGTTTTTGTATGTTTACGATCCAGCTAACTAAAATACTTTCTTGTGCAAAAGGATTAGACTAGTTTGGGACACACCTTGGATTAAGTATTATGGGAAATATTTCCTTCACTTTTATAGTGTCTTAGTCACTTATATATTTGGTACCTTAAAGACATGTGACATGCCAAGTAAAATCCTAATCTGAGTGTTCAAATGTCTTTTTCATTTATATTGTTTATAAAAGTCACCTAGGACTACCATGATTTTCAGATCACATTTAAGTTTTTCATTTAATAAAAAAAACATTTTCTTTAGAAAGAGATCTTTAAAATAAACCTCACTTCCTATAGGGTTTTTTTTAGGGTGCAGAGTGAGGTTAAAGTAATGTTACAGCTTAAGTATTCCCAAGCGTAATACGGTTGAGTTACTAAGTGTGTAATTGTTCAGTATTCAGCTTTGTAATTAAACCATAACCATAACCATAGATGTAGAAGCTGCAAATTCCAAATAAATAAAAACTTGTCCTTTTCAGTAAATAAAATCTAAAGTAACTAAACACACACTGTTTTCAATACATCAGTGTGAACTCATCCCAAATTTTTCTAATTCTCAGCTGCTTTAATCATTTGATATAGGGAGTTCCACAAAACTATGCATTAATGTAAAATACATACATCATTTTTTGACAGGAACACCGGATTCCAAGCATGTTACTAGAATCCATTCTAAAGGAAACCAAAAATTCATTGGCAAGCATAAACGTCATATCTCGCATCTTTTTCAAGCACTTCTAAAGACTTTTCTGTAATGAATGTCAATTTGTATGAAGTCTGCCCATCACTGGTTGCATGATATCTTAAGACCCAATTTTAAATTCTAAATTTTGCTCTTTTGTGCCAAAGTAGAAAGTATAGTTTGGTGAAAGAGTAAAATATACCACTAGAGAAGGGGTAGCAAGAGATTTGTGGTATCTTATAACAAAATCTTTGAAAATAAAATGGTGTTTTGTTAATTTATTTTTCAAATACAAGGTCCAGTCTAACTTTGACACATACTCCTCAGAGACTTCAGTGTGACCACACATAAGCATCAACTTAAGCACATATGTAAGAATTTGCAGTATCAGGCCATAAAGAAGTTAATAGGTGACTTGTTCTCATGTACTGTGATAGGATTAGAACTTAATCACAATGGAGGGAGTGCAGGACTGGTTTTCAGCCTTATTTCTGAATGCCCATGATTTTGTGGATTTAGATCATGACCTCAATGTTATATAAATGATTATGGTATTTTTGCATTTAATTCATTATAAACAATCCATTCCATACAAATAAATGCACAGTCAATGCCATTCTAAGCTTAGCTTTGGAAACTTTGCTTTATTTCCAGTGTGATACACAAATGTTTTAGCCATTTTACTATGTTACTAAATGATGCTACAGCTTTTTATTTTTTATTTTGACATGCAAATGAGCTATGAATGGGAAAAATGCTTCAAAGATATTTCATGAGTCAGTTTATTAACATGTATATATTTCAGATAGGTGAAATGGAACTCTTCATTAAATTGGGAAAATACAAAATGGAAATAACTGTGGAAACTCTACCCTAAGTACAATACAACATTTAAAAATACATTCTGAAATTTGAGGCTGCTAAATGGAAAATTATTTGGCCACAACTATTAAAAAGGGAAAAATCAGACCATGACATTAAGATTAATGAACATACGGTATTGTTGTTAGGAAAATTTATAATTTGTAACATAGTTAATTCATGTTACCTCTTGGACCTTTCCTGATGGTGAGCTTCAAAGCTACAGTCAAATTAACTAATTCTGTCTTGAGTGGCATAGAGTAACTCTGTAGTAAGGTTTTAGTTTTGTTTTTGTTTTATTTTTTGAAATCTATTGCTCTTCCCTGAGGCAAGTATTTCGGATAGTGCCCCTGTCCCTTAAGGAGTTGAGAATTTACCATTTATTCTGACTTTTGTTGTGTATTTTGTGGAGAAAGCTACACTGAAAAGTGACATAACTTGACTTCTGTGGTATAAATGGATTTAGGTTTATAGAACAACACTGGTGTAACTACAAATTGCACGTAATCTGCTAATCAAACCCCTTTCAATGTCAGGTACTACTCAGTATGACTAAGGGTAACAATAGTCAGGTAGACAACATTTTGCTCATCAGGCTGCCTGTGGGGTATGTCTACAAAGCAGAAAAATTGTAGTTGGAGGGAAACTGAATTTTGAAGGATGGCCTGACGTGAAATGGAACAAAATGGGAAATCTTAGGATGGTGAAAAATTAAGGCATGAGCCCGATCAAACCCCTATTTTTAAGTGATCCTTACTCAGGCAAGTACTCCTGTTCATTCAATGGGTCTGCTCCTGTTAGTGAAAATCTTGCTAAATCAACCTCTTAGGTTGCGTATGATGACTTTTCCTTGTTTACTAACAACTATTTGCTCAGTAGCCACCTTTTTCATGGTCTCATTTGTTGTTACCATTTGAATCTCTTCCATAAACTATACATTCACAGAGCCTTAAAATCCCATGTTTTTGACTTCCTGCTTTGGAGGGTGAATTGCATTGATTAACAGCGACTTCCTGTTTAGACACTTTTCCTGAAGGACAGGTAGGATTTCAGGTCTCTAGGACTACAACATCTGAGTTTTCATTATTTAGAACAAAAAATTTGGACCTACTTATTTTTAATTTTAGTTTCTGATTCTAGTGAATTTTCTAATTTTTTGTATCCTACCTGCTGACTTAATTTTGTTGCTTGAAGTCTGTTTGAAACCTGAGAAGTACTGTACAATGTGAGACCTTGCTTTAAGATTCTGTTCTCGGTATAAATCCCTTTGAACGGTGCAACAAGGGTTCTAATCTGGTGTTTGCAGTGTTGTTGTAGCCGTGTTGGTCCCAGGATAGAAAGACAAAGTGGGTGAGGTAATATCGTTTACTGGACCAGCGTCTGTTGGTGAAAGAGACATTTTTTCTTTTCTACTTTTTCTTCTGATGATATGCTCTGGGTAGCTCAAAAGCTTTTCTCCTTCACCAACAGAAGTTGGTCCATTAAAAGATATTACCTCACCGACCTGCTTTTAATCTTGCTCATTTTCAGTAAAGATACTTTGTCGCCATGGACAAACCAATCCATACTGTAGCTAGATTAAAAAATATACTTTAATGCAGGTCTCTACATGAGCTAGTGTGATATTTTTTAAACCAATTTGACCCTGTCTACACTGCCAAGACTTATGACACAGTAAGATCACAACCATGTTTACACCATGCTTAAGCATGTATTTTAAATTGTTCAAAGCCCTGTGCTGACAAGGCCTAAAAGTCCTGTTTGGTTGCATTCATTCACCTTGAATTGCAGGCTCCCAAAATTACTTGCTCAGAGTCTGAGAAATCTTTGGTCCTAGCACCAAAGTCTTAAGCTGAAAAGTTAAAAAAAAGAGTTACACAATTGGATTTGTACTTTTCTAAAAGGGAAGGAATAATTTCTTGCCAAACCAAATAGATTCATGACTTTTGTGGCTTACTTACTAAAAGCAGCCAAAAGTATTGTATAAGGGATAAATGATGGACTTCAGGCTGATACTTTTCCATTACGAATTTATTTTTTTATTCTATCTTTCATTGAAATTGTGGTCTTTACATGTAGCTTGTTTTTTCAAATGTAGAGCTCCCAAAATTGTTGTTTCATCTCAGACAAGCATTTACAACAAACATAAACAGATTTCAGGGGTATCACTTCAGCATTAGCAATCTGGAGCAACTTACTTTTGAAAATACAAAAAGAGTATGTTAACAAAAAACATTTTATAGCTTTGGAGCCTGAGTGGATTGAGAGGGAGTCTTGTACTACATGCGGTGGTTTCCTTAAATCACGCATCTCAGCAGCTTGTAGAAAAATACGGGATAATAAAACTATTATTCAGTGTAATATTTTCTATTAATTATAGGTATAATAACTTCTTAACATGGATATTCATCAGTATACTCTCTGCTTGCAGTGTATTTTGCATGAATATCTTCAATTGGTTTCTTAAAGAGACACTCAAGTTAAAACAGTCTTTCAAAGAAATTTCTTAGCCTCTGGAACTAATACTACTCATAGTTAAAACTGAAGTAATTTTAAATATGTTTCACTATTAATGCAGTTTGTTTCTTGTTTTGATTCCTGTACTTCATTTTTTCCCTAAAACAAAAACTATATTTGGGACCAAAGCTGTCTGGTAATGCCTCTTTTAAAATATAGATAGGGTTGCCAATTTTGGTTGAACATATTCCTGGAAGTTTCCTCACATGACATAATCTTGAATTCAAGATTAATCTTTAATTCCTGGAGACTCCAGGTCAATCTGGAGGATTGGCAACCCAGATTACAGGTGGTGACTACAAAATATTAGTGACTATAGCTGCCACATTCCTAAGTATGAACTTGGTGCTGCTCCAATGAAAGTTGAAGTGAAAGGGTGCCAGTTACTAAGAGTAATGTGGGAAACACATCCTTGAAAACAATTAACAAGGAGAAAGATTGAGCGTGCATGTTACTTTGGGGTCCTTATGTTGCGCACTCATGAGTGTCGTGAATGACTACTTTGGTGTAACAGTATCAGACTGCAGGTGCTTTGTGAAATGGTGGCTCAGATGGAAAATATCTATTTGTTGAGTAATTCTGATGGCTTGTCAATTTGTGTCTATGGTTTAGTATGAGATTATGTAAAAGTTATAAACATGCTAATTTGGTGGTATATATGCTACTCTTTTGTACACAGCGAATAAATTATTTTAAAAGTTATATATCAATTTTTTTAATTTGCAAAGTAACTAGTTCTCCCAATAATAAGAATCCATAAATTGCAAATGTTCTATAATTTCAAAAGGATGTTGCATTCATTGGGGAAAATCTAACTGCTTGTGCTAATCCCTACAATTTTGAGATGCTTTTACCATCAAACAGACCAGAAGTTTTTTTGTATTAGAATGAAAGCATTGTATTATCAGTTAAAAGTTTAATATTGTGTCAGAACTTCAGAATTCATTTTCAGAATCCTAGACATACATACAAAATGGCAAAATTTGAATAATCACAGGGCAGTCATTTAACATCTATTTGTACATTTTGGGACATCTCAATAGGAGTTCTCTAAGTTTTCTGTTTTTATGAACTGCAATGAAACTATTGGTTGTGGAACGTATTGGGGCAATTGTGTTTAAAGTTATGTTTGCTTGTTAATGTGCAATTTAAAATGAGGTAACATTGAGGTAATCATGTAGGTATTTATATTGATATGGCAGTAGTGAAGTGGAATATCTGTATTCTGTACCCACATTCTGGCCTGAGCAAAATCACATGGACTTCCAGAAATAAGCAATGGTTTTTAAGAGCAGCTTTATTTAATGTTGCAGGAGCAAGTAAATGTTATTTGTACCATATACTTGTACATGTAAATTGGGTGCTAATAAATACTATTTTTCAACATTTTGTAGTGTGTCCATATATTTATAAGAAATATATAAGCATATAGAGTGTGGGGACACCCCAAAAGAGCCCTACAGATGTATATTAGCACATTCCATTGTGGGCCATGTTAGTATCATCTGAATTTTCCTTTTAAATTTGACCTTTACAAAAGCAGTTCTTCTGTTCCTGTGCCAAATATGATCTCCCTTTCAATTCTTTGTACTTGGTCTACATTTCCATGTGCTGTTGATTATGACTATGCCATCTTGACATCAGTGGCACCTTACAACTTATGCAGTCTTAATGCACACAGGTCTTAGGGTCTTCACTGGGAGTTAGAGACACATTATTCCAATAGAGTAAATGCCTTTGTGTAGGGGGTTGATTATCACAGAGTGATGCAGCGATCTCGGGAAGAACACAATGTGCTTCAACCTTACTTTCTCTAACATAGACAGTAGCATGTACATTTAAAAAAGTGGACACACAATTCTCCCCGCATGGAGAGGATGATAGAGAATGAACCACACATGACAGAGGTCAGTCGTGTTGCTTAATGCACTACTGGCAGATGCTCAGTGAAGAGGATGGTATAAAAATCTATATTGAATTGAACAGAAAAACTTGTTAGCAAACTCATCCTGTTTCCTCTGAGTGCAGAGTAGGGCAGAGAAGAGCCCCAGCCTCCTTTCAGTGGCTGGGAGAATATTCACTTTTCCCAATCCCCTCCACTGTAGGAAAATAGGAATTGCTAGAACAGAACAAAGGTTTGTGTAGTCCAGTATCCTGTCTCCAGCAATGGCGAGTATCCGATGTTTCAGTGGAAAGTGTAAAATGCTCTTATGTACAGTTTATCAGTAACCTGCCCACATGGGGAGGTTTCTTCCAAAGCCAACTACAAACTGTCAGGGCATTATGAACTGAAGCATAAAGGTGTATATCCCTTATTAATTGTTGTAATAGGTGCATAGTCTTATTGTCCGTGAAAACAAAAAATGCCATTAACGTTAAGTTTCAGAGTAGCAGCCGTGTTAGTCTGTATCCGCAAAAAGAAGAACAGGAGGACTTGTGGCACCTTAGAGACTAACAAATTTATTAGAGCATAAGCTTTCGTGGACTACAGCCCACTTCTTCGGGATGCATATGCATATGCATCCGAAGAAGTGGGCTGTAGTCCACGAAAGCTTATGCTCTAATAAATTTGTTAGTCTCTAAGGTGCCACAAGTCCTCCTGTTCTTCTATTAACGTTAAGGTTGGTAGTAAGTGTGTGTATACAATGGAAAGTTTAAAAATATGGAAATGAACAAAAATTATCTTAGTCTTCTCAATAATTGCAGGATTAAAAGTTAACTTAGACAATATTTAGTAGACCCCAAAAAGAGGGGTGAACTCCAGTAGAAGCAGGAAGAGCATACCCACCGACCCTGCCCCTCAGTATGACTAAGAGCTAGATGTAAACAATGTGGCTGAGATATTGCTAAATCTAATCTCCCCCAAGGCTCAGTCCTGTCACTTGTTCTATTTAACAAGTAGGTACAGCTGCATGGGGCGAATGAGATTTTATTGGCTATAAATAATGCCATCAGCATATAGATGACTCATCAAGCATGGACAGTTTTGTACCGCTGCTGTCCCATTGCCTTGTACATTTAAGAACCTGAATGAAAAATAGCTGGTTCAAGTTCTGTCCAGAAATGAGAGAGTTGTTTAAGGAGCTAGCAGTTACTGTGATCTTGCTCTTGAGAGAGAGAGTGTCCATTTTACGACTTAACGTGGGGGGACGGAAGTCCCTCGCTACTAGGGGTGCCCAGATAGCAGCAGTAATGAGGAATGCTTTCTTTACACTTAGGCTGGGCAGGAGACTGTGTGGATGTGGACCTGGCTATGGTGATCCACGCTTCAGTGACATGAAGAAAGGACATTTTCACGGCCCCCTATTGGGCTAGCTACTTCCAAAAGCTTCCCTAATCACTGGGAATGTATTACCCCAATATTGCATACAATGCAAGAGTTGCAATGAGCACAGAGAAGGGAAAACTGGTCTGCGCATCTCTTATAGGAGCAGCAGCCTCGGGGATCTCTTCCCCTGGGCTTCCCAAATATGAAAGCAGCGAATAGGGAATACGAAGGCCCCCATCTGAAAGCTTACCGCCAGCCCTGGTAGCTGAATCCCCACAGAGCAACAGCAGTACGGGGTCTCCTCCCCATGCCAGCCACCAACTGGTCACAGCAGGGCAGTGGGCCACTGGCCCAAGGGGCGGGAGGAGTCCCAACCCATCCAATATCTCCAACCCCACTTCCTGGCCCATGTGGAAGGCGGTTGTGGTGCCACCATCATTCCCCTCCTCACAAAGCCCAGGGGAGGCAGTAAGGAATCTGCACTTCTGGCCCAGCAGTGGCTGCCCCACCCAGCCTGCACACTACAGGAACTGAAAGGAAAGGGTGTTTTGTGGGGCAGTGAAGCAGTCTGCACCACATACTTTGAGCTGTATGGGATGTCACTCTCATGGGCCCCAGGCACAGAACCGCTTCTGCCCAGAGCCAACTACACGCACACCACTCCTTTTAGTCTTGCACAGACTCCCTCTTGGTTTCATATCAAGTATTTGCTGTGGCGAGTCCTGGTGGGGGACGTGAGGTATCAGGTGAGTGTGGCTGGTGTGCATGGGAAGGGGGAGTAGCAGGTACCTATGTGCAGTCCATAGGAATAGGGAAGTATCCCCTTTAAAAAGTTGGTGAGCTTTTTAGTGACACTCACCATGGTGTAGAAGCCTCCGGCAGACCAGATGTATACCTATAGCGAGGCCTTGCCTGTGTGCATGTAATTAGTAAACACATCTATTGGGACCAAGCTATTCCCAGGTGATTTCTTTATGTTCTGGGAGATCATCTGTCTAGCTGCTGTGGCACCTAATGCTGCTAAGCCCAGCATTAGCTGCTATTGTGTACTCAGTGAGCCCAGTCAGCACGGCTGCAGAAAGCATGTATATCACTAATGTACTGGTTACATGTATGAGTTATGATCTCTAGTGGCTAGCTCACAAAAGGATAGGGAGTTGCTGCCAGGGCCAGCTCTGGCTTTTTGGCCGCCCCAAGCGGCCAAAAAAAAAAGGGGGGGGGCGGCCAAAACGGCGAAGCAAAAAAACCCCGTGGCGCAGCCTGAGCGCGGGTGCAGGGGGACCGGCTGGAGGGGTGGGGGGAGGGAGCGGGCGGGAGAGAAGGGGGCGGCCAGGGCTACAGCGGGGTGCTGCCACGCGGCCCCTCCTGCTGCGCCGCCTCCTGCTGCCTGCCGCGAGTGCTCCGCTCCGATCGGCAGGGAGGGAAGGAAGAGGACTGCCCTGCAGGGCGCGCCAATCCTCCGCCCCGCTGCCCCCTACAGGGCGGCCGGAGCTGAACAACAAAAAAAAAGCAGCCATGCCACCCTAGGATTGGGCAGAATGCCACCTCGAACAATCTGCTGCCCCAAGCACCAACTTGCTCAGCTGGTGCCTGGAGCCGGCCCTGGTTGCTGCTATCAGCTAAGGGAGTTTTCCTTCAGCTCAAATGACAGAGCTTGTGCTTTTGGAGCTGAGAGACTAAGGGCCAGATTTTTAAAGGTAGTTAGGTGACTTAATGGGAGTTGATATCTAAATATCTCTGACAACTGGCCCTGAGGCATTTATCCCAGCTCTGCATGGGTGTCTAGTTTATCTAGTAACGCTTAGCTTTTAGCCGTACGTAGTTTAATTGCAGCAATGGAGTCAAATGTGTCATAGCCACCAACTTGGAAACCATGGGGGTTTCATGCTATTCAGGTCTCGGAGGTCCACAACGTTCACGCTGATGTTTCCTACAGATCCTCAGGCACTATGTGAGAGATGTTTCACCCTTTGTTCCCTCTGTCCTGACATCAACCTCTGTCTCGGGTGCAACGTATCCAATTCTGCAAGTTTACACTGCTTGGACCTGACTTTCCCTTCCATGGATCTTTGTAAGATTTGCAGTAATTCAGCTAGGTATGTTAAACATAAAATAAAAAGGTTTCTGTGCTTTTAACACCTTGGGTCTTGCTGATCTTGATGGTACCTCTAGGTTTAGGAAACCCCTATTTGCATTTTAAAAACTAAAGTGCAGCAACAATATTTGGATGTACAGTTTTTAAAATATTGTCTTAAATATGCAAGCTGTACTGCATACACCTTTATGGTTTTTTTTATTGCAAAAGGTTTAGCAACTTCTTTACAAAAAGCTCTTTAAGTAGCTCCGACGTGTTACAAAAGGAACTCTGCTTCCTTCACAAACAAATATACAAGGAAAAAAAACTGTTTTTATGAAAATTTTACACGTAACTTACTATCCCATGTTTTAACAAAATGTTCTTTGCAGGAGCTTTTCAGCAGATGACCTGTACTTTGGTTGCTGTCCAAGGTAAATGTTTTTTAACGTATAACAGGATATATTTTGCACTTGTTCTATAAACTGGATTCCCATTGATATCAGTGGTAATTCCACAATTGTAGAAGAAGCAAAAAAAAAAAATCACTTTTGGGGATCTGACAATTTAAGGACCACTTCAAAGACTTAGGCAATGAAATTCTCATGACATTCAGTCACGACACAAAACAGTTGTTCAATAAATTTATGGTTTTGTTTTTTTAAGTGGTTTACCTTGTTGCCTTTTGAAAAATAATCTTGCATGCTTGATATGGAGGATGGTCACTGAACTTTTTGTTACACATAAGTGAAGAGCATTTGAAAACCACCATGGTAAATGCTTATCAAGTCTGCTATTTTTTAAGATTAAAATGTTCAAAGAAATGAAAGATGTAGGGATCAGCAACCTTTGGCACGCGGTTTGTTTACCTGCCGCGTCCGCAGGTTCGGCCAATCGCGGCTCCCACTGGCTGCAGTTCACTGTTCCAGGCCAATGAGGGCTGCAGGAAGCAGCGCGGGCCAAGGGATGTGCTGGCTGCCTCTTCCTGCCGCCCCCATTGGCCTGGAGCAGCGAACCGCAGCCAGTGGGAGCCACAATCGGCCGAACCTGCGGATGCGGCAGGTAAACAAACCGGCCCGGCCTACCAGGGTAAGCACCCTGGCGGGCCGTGGGCCAAAGGTTGCTGATCCCTGCTTAACGCATGCAAATTGCCCTTATTGCTCCTAACTTCATATTCCTATGTTAGACCCCCTGTGTAAAACTGGTCTACTCAGGGTTTCTGAAGGGTTTCAGAATTTGGGCCAGTGAGAGTTCAGAGTGCCTTGCAAGTGTGTGTGTTTTGCTGATGGAAGGCTGCAAAAATCTCATCAATGAAATAACTTGATAATCTCCTTGTTTTACTAATGCTATCTCAGCCTATCTGTATTGTGAAGTAATGCAGAGTGGCATAGATCCCTTCACCTCTGTCTCTGATTAAATGATTTCTTTTGGCTAATTAGGGTTGGAAGGATTGTATTTCTAATGATGTTTTTGAGTCGTAATTAATTTTAATGACATGTTTGCATTCAGATCCTGTTATTTATTCAGTGTAGTAGCTATGAGAATTGAGCCACCAAAAAATCATTTAATATTTCATCATTAATTTCTTACCCTTCCCTTTTTAACTATCCCCAAGCATTGTGGACTAGAAATTCCAATAGCCAGTGAAGTTCATGAACAGTCTCATTTTTCTCAAGTAACATTTAACTCTTCTCCCCTTTCCCTCCAGGAGCTGTGATAAATGATGAACGTATATTATCAAGTTTTAGTGGGTGAAAAAAATAGATGCCAGCTGACACCAACTAAAGCCCAAGTCTTTCAAGACGTCAATAATATATCACATCTGGCATCATTTGCTGCTGATTAGTTCCTCATTTAAGAAGGCAGAGTCATAATAGTATAATTGGCTTGGTCAAGCACAGTGCAATGCGTACTCTGAACTAACAGAGACAAAACCAACCCCAAATACTCCATCTACAGAGTCTCTCTCTACCATTGGGAAGTCCTGCTTTTGCCAATGTATAATACACAATAATACAGTCAGACTGTGTTTCTCTTAAATCCTTAACAAAACAACTCTAGAGCAGTCTTTTCTCTTCATGCTATTGGTCTCCATCCATGCTTCAGGGTGAAACCTAAAAGAAGAATGGTTTGAGGACAGCATAGTGGTTCTCAAACTTTTTTCATATTGTGTACCACTTAAGACGGAGGCCCTTCCAATGGTATCAGCCTCCTGCGCCCAGACCCCCCCTTGCAGTAACTATCATGCTTGGACACTGACAATAGGACAATGTTAAGAGGACAAGATTCTAAATAAACTCCCTCCAACGCAATGGGTGGGGATTCTGGATTCCAGTTTTTCAATTTTGTATGTGTCAGCTGCTTCCTCTCCATGGGTGCAGAACTCTATTAGGATCAGTAAATGCCTGCAGACCCCACTGCTCTAATCTATCCAGTTGCAGTTTGGCTCTCTCTCGTGTTTGTATGTATCAGCTTGAAATGATACCAAATGAAAACCTGTCAGAGAGACACAAAACAGCTGTCCAATTTAAAAAAGTGTTCTGGGTGTTGTTGGAAAGCATCTCTGGAAACCCTGAGAGTCCTGGTCTGGACAACAACTAGCAGGAAGCATCACTGCTAGAAGACAGAGATGCTTCGCCACTCTAATAGATGCAGCTTGGCCTCTACCCGGCAGTGTTCCACAGACCACAGTTTGAGAAGCACTGTGACAGAGAATGTCTTTAAAGAGAGCTTCTGCAATACACAAAGGCCGAATGAAAATGTCCCTGGGATCTACATTGAAAAACCTTTTCAAACCTCTCTTCTGGAAACAAATTTTCAATCTACAAAGCTGAGTCACTTGATTTATCTTTTCAAGGGTTGTAACTGTCTTTGTCTATCCAACCAAGTCAGAGTTTTGAAGCCAGCAAAAAAGTTAAAATGAAAATGCCTGTCTACACAGAGCTTTATCATGCATAAGGAATAGAGCTGAAATCAGCTTTGTTAACTGAAAAATGCCAGAGAATAACTCTTCTAGTATTTCTTGGACTCATAGCTGGCATTACTTGTATAGCATTTTGTTTATCTTCTGCATGACACCCAGTGACTCAGCGTTAGTATAATGCTTTGCCTACTTTCATCAGTTCCGGGGCTGTGAATTAAACTCTGTACAAATGTTCTGGATGATCCTAGGAACGAATCTGTAGAGATGGTCAAATTCATCCACGAAGAAGGAATGCTCTTTATCCGGGTCTGTTGCAATGGATTCCAGTTCATCCTGGGCTGCCCAGGCAATTCCAACAGAATAAGCTATGACCCCTGAAAAGACAACCAGCGTTTAAAATGGCCAGGTGTGTTTTCAAAACAGTCACTGCATTGAAATTAATTTTTAAAAAAAATCTGATCCCACAATAAATGTAATGTTCAGGGCATAAAATGAAGGGACCAGACTCTGGGCTGTGGCTTCTGAGAGACATTATAGAAGGTGCAGCCAATGGGCTGCTCTTACGTACAGCAGGCTCTGAAACTCTGCGTGTTACAGCTAATTCCCCTCCCACCTCAATACAATGCTTACACTGGGGTCTCTGAAAGGAGCCGCATAGAGCCACATACATCAGACCTATGTTGCTTGTGTGCCAGGAAAATTCTCCATGTCCCATTGCAGCTTATTTTACAGCCTCTATGTGAGTGTCAAACAAGAATTGAACCATATGTACAGACTGGGGTGTGGGGGGGCAGTGTCAGCCCTGAAGAATAAGTCTTGCCAATGGCAGAAAGGCGTCAAACAGTAGTAGGCTGTTGCCTGAAAGCCTGGCACAGAATGTGTTTGAACATCCTACACTGAAAGCAAAAGTGAGCTTCATATACACACTTCTTGTGTCTGTAGGCCTATAGAAACCCATTGAGCACTGCAGCGTGTGAGAGACATCCCGTCTGACAAATCTGACTACACTATTTTCTTATGGACTTCCCATCTGTTTACTCACCCATCTTCATCTTGATTAGCTATGGCCATTAACATGGCCATAGCTTAGTGTGGTGAGCTGCCCAAAAGTCCATCTACTGCCATACTGCGATGACCACTCTAACTGCCTTACCTTTATAAATGTTAAGCTACTGTATATAGGTGGAGTGGGCCCCCGTAGTAGAAGATAGCACTAGTTTACCATTTTGATGAGCTGTCATGGCTGGCACTCGGACATCATCATAAGACCTGCCATCTGTGATGAGAATCATTATCTTCCTCTTGTTGGGTTTGGATTTGCTGAAGAGCTGTTCAGAGGCATAGTTGATGGCCGCTCCAGTGCTGGTCCCTCCACTCCAGTAGTTAATTCGCTTAATAGCATTCAGGACATCTTGCTTAGTGCTGTGTTTGTCAAATCCAAACTCCAGCCTCTGCTCATAGGTGTACTGCACAGCTCCAATACGGGTGTCGGTGTCTGAAATCTCAAATTCTTTGCTTATGTTGGCTACAAATTGGAGGATAGTGCGGAAATTGCCAGTGCCAACGCTGCTGGAACCATCAATTACAATGCCAATGTCAGCTGAATTTAGACACGTCTTGCTGCAAGCCAGCCGATCAGTGTCGCAGACCCGCTTCACCAAGGTCTGGACTACCTTGCGTAGGTTGAACCAGCTTGGCACGTTAATGGAATAGAAGCCATTTGTTCTGCATACAGCCTGCAGAGAGATGCAAATATAAAAGTAAAAAGGCACTTATTGGGCATAATGTGGATTGAGTTTAATTACACAATCAAATTCTGCTGCCTTCCTGAGAAAAATCTAAAAGTTATGTAAAGTGTGTTCAACTAAAGAACTGGACATCCTGCCCCGGCATTTATAAAATATGTGATGAAGCGGTCAGTGTTAATTGTCAGAAAAATTCAATATGAAATTCCACCACCCTCTGAATTTGGTTTTGTACACTGGTTATGTCAGAGTTAGGCCAAGTGTCAAAACTACAAATTCATTTTCAAATATCTTTGTTCATTTAGTTCAGAGTTATACTCTGTACAAAGTGGCCTTCTTTGGGAGTTCCTTGTTTGACTGGCAGTGGCTCCAGATCACATCCCCTCCAGTTAAAAGTAAAAAGATGAGGTTTTGTCCACCTGTCAGTCCTGCACATTCGACATGGTACCTGAGAGTCAAGCTGGGTTCTTTCTGGCTCATGCCATCCCAACCAGAAATCAGGATCACGAAACAGAAATGTGGCAAAAAAAAAAAAAAAACGTTAGGTGATGCATAAACTAAAGGAGAATCCGACATGGTTGTGTTGGCTCCCCAGGGCAGTAGAAGCAAAATTTCTTAAATTTTTACAGCTTGGTCAGTAAATTAAGCAGTTATGACTCTGAATGCACATAGGGAGCAGGTGGAGGGAAGCTCTTCCAGACCTAATGAGGAGTTGGGAACTTGTGGTGAGGGAATGGATTTCTGGCTGGGTGGGTGGGCGCAGGGAGAGAGGAGGAGGAGGATGGAATGTGGAGTATGTTGTAGGTAGGAGAGGTAGATTCAGAATTGTTTTAAAATGTAAAATCTTTAAGATGTTAATGTTCCAACTTGTTGAGAGCGTTTGATGAGCCAGATTGTGTCTGCCCTTCATCGTTCACCTGAAAGGATGGTTCAACTGTTTCTGTAGTAGTGTCCTCCCCGCTACATTTGGTGTCAGCAAATCAATCTCACAACAGCTTTAAGTTAGTTCTGTACACATCGGTTTAGGCTTCACTTCATAGCCTCACCGTGTTTATTTTCTTCTATCTTGCTGCTCTTTTTACATTCTGATGCTACCATTTACAGCCACAAGATAAACTCAAAGAATCATAGGACTGGCAGGGACCTCGAAAGGTCATCTAGTCCAGCCCCCTGCACTCATGGCAGGACAAAGTATTATCTAGACCATTCTTGACAGGTGTTTGTCTAACCTGCTCTTAAAAGTCTCCAAGGATGGAGATTCCACAAGTTCCCTAGGTAATTTATTCCAGTGCTTAATCACCCTGACAGTTGGGAAGTTTTTCCTAATGTCCAACCTAAACCGCCCTTATTGCAATTTAAGCCCATTGCTTCTTGTCCTATCCTCAGAGGTTAAGGAGAACAGTTTTTCTCCCTACTCCTTATAACAACCTTTTATGTACTTGTAAACTGTTATTAGGTCCCCACTCAGTTTTCTCTTCTCCAACCTAAACAAACCCACTTTTTTCATAGGTCATGTTTTCTAGACCTTTAATCATTTTTGTTGCTCTTCTCTGGACTTTCTCCAATTTGTCCACATCTTTCCTGAAATGTGGTGCCCAGAACTGGACACAGTACTCCAGTTGAGGCCTAATCAGTGCAGAGTAGAGTGAAAGAATTACTTCTTGTGTCTTGCTTACAGCACTCCTGCTAATACATCCCAGAATGATGTTTGTTTTGCCAGCTTTGCCTTCCTGCTTGGGCCCCCTGCTCTCTATCTTCCGTGCTGGCTCTGGCAGGGTCACAGAGCCTCATTGTCGTTTTGCCCTTTTAAAAAATAAATGAAAACAAGACTATAAGCCAATCAAATGGAGCCTGGAGACAGCCCAGCTAATGCCATTAAGGGCTTTGAAGCTCATAGGAAATGTGTTTCATGGCAGAGTGACAGTGGAAATTGCACAAAATCATCTTGCGGCGTGGCTCAGAGAACAAGTTGTTTTCTGAAAATACTTTCTAACTTCCACTCTGCATCCTGAACCCTGGCTGATCTGGCATATCACACCTCATGTCACAACTTCATGCCAATTGGCCCTGCAGTACTTGACATGAGTATTGGCTGCCTATCTGAAATGGTTTAAGACTAGATCATCCATAGTGTAGATTGCAGGGATTCACTCTTATTCCAAGAGTAACCAGAAGTTTCATCTATTCATAACAAAGCAATGGAGACGACATTCCTCAAACAAGTTTACTGAGCAGACATTACTTACCCTGATTAGCTGAATAATTAGTATGTGCCCCTGCGTTATGATTTCTCATTTAGATGTTTGTGGCTTTTATTTTGTTCTGTTGAAAAAAATCTCACAAAAGCAGGTTGATCTCCAGGTGTGTCGGTATATGTAATATTTTTAGGTTGCACCAAGTATCTTAAAATGTATCAGTCTCTGTGGTATCCAGGTGCAATGACTTTTATAAGAACCAAATAGCATCACAGGAATGGGGTGATGTTTCTCCATGGATGTGTGGGCTTTCCTGCCAGAGCTGGGTAGATACAGTCCTGGAGACTTAATATTCCAGCTGTTGGCAGGAAGGGAGTAGACTTTAAACAAAACGATTATTTCTGTCTCTCTCAGGAATCTATATGGCTCTTATTACTGTACTGTGTGTGAGCACCCCACAATCTCATTTATCTATCCTCACAATGCACCTGTGAGGTAGACAAGTAGTAGTATGCCCATGTTACCAATGGGGACTAAGGCACAGAATTATTTCTTGCATGCAGCCTGAATATAAGTACCTAACTCTGAGAGGACACACCCCTCTCAGTGATATCTCCCATTGGCTAGTTTAGGCAGCTCCCTGCATAGCTTGCTGGCTGTTGTGGATCCCATTCTGAGGTGTCTCTCTCCCCATTCATTGTATAAGGAGAGTCGGCACCTAAATCAGGAATTGCGGATCCCATTGGTAGTCCGGTGATTTTTTCTAGGTGCCTAAAAGCTAGGCATTGTGATGCAGGGCATTGTAATGCTTAAGTCCATTTGTGGATCCAGGCCAGAGAGACTAAGGGTATGTCTACACTGGCAAGACTGGAAAAAGGCTAATGTAGTGCCCATCTTTAAAAAAGGGAAGGAGGAGGATCCGGGGAACTACAGGCCAGTCAGCCTCACCTCAGTCCCTGGAAAAATCATGGAGCAGGTCCTCAAGGAATCAATTCTGAAGCACTTAAAGGAGTGGAAAGTGATCAGGAACAGTCAGCATGGATTCACCAAGGGCACGTCATGCCTGACTAACCTAATTGCCTTCTATGATGAGATAACTGGGTCTGTGGATGAGGGGAAAGCAGTGGATGTGTTATTCCTTGACTTTAGCAAAGCTTTTGATACTATCTCCCACGCTATTCTTGCCGGCAAGTTAAAGAAGTATGGGCTGGATGAATGGACTATAAGGTGGACAGAAAGCTGGCTAGATCGTCGGGCTCAGTGGGTAGTGATCAATGGCTCCATGTCTAGTTGGCAGCCGGTATCAAGTGGAGTGCCCTAAGGGTCGGTCCTGGGACCGGTTTTGTTCAATATCTTCATTAATGATCTGGAGGGTGGCATGGATTGCACCCTCAGCAAGTTTGCAGATGACACTAAACTGGGAGGAGTGGTAGGGACCTAGACAAATTAGAGGATTGGGCCAAAAGAAACCTGATGAGGTTCAACAAGGACAAATGCAGAGTCCTGCACTTAGGACGGAAGAATCCCATGCACTGCTACAGATTAGGGACCGAATGGCTAGGTAGCAGTTCTGCAGAAAAGGTCCTAGGGGTCACAGTGGACGAGAAGCTGGATATGAGTCAACAGTGTGCCCTTGTTGCCAAGAAGGCTACCGGCATTTGCGGTTGTATAAGTAGGGGCATTGCCAGCAGATTGAGGGACGTGATCATTCCCCTCTATTCGACATTGGTGAGGCCTCATCTGAGTACTCTCCAGTTTTGGGCTCCACGCTACAAGAAGGATGTGGAAAAATTGGAAAGAGTCCAGTGGAGGGCAACAAAAATGATTAGGGGGCTGGAGCACATGACTTATGAGGAGAGGTTGAGGGAACTGCTACCGATTAGTCGCTAACCCGTTCGGAGTGGAAAAGTTGACCGTTGGACTCATGTTGACAGAAGTGTGCAGGGCCATTAATTGCATCCTGCTCCGAAAGACACTAACTCTGGGCAACATATGTGACATTGTGGCTGACTTTGCACAAATAGGATTCTCTAACTGCGGAGGGGCGATAGATGGCACCCATATTCCAATTCTGGCACCAGATCACTTAGCCACCGAGTGCACTAATCAGAAGGGGTATTTCTCTTTGGTTCTCCAGGTGCTTGTGGATCACTGTGGGCATTTCACGGACATTAATGGGGGCTGGTCCGGAAAGGTGCGTGACGCACACATCTTTCGGAACAGTGGCCTGTTGAGGAAGCTGCAAGCAGGGACTTCCTTCCCAGACCCGAAGATCATGGTAGAGGAAGTCGAAATGCCCATTTTGATCCTGGGAGACCCTGCCTACCCCAGAATGCTGTGGCTTATGAAGCCATACACGGGGAACCTTGATAGCAGCAAGGAGCGGTTCAACAACAGGCTGAGCAAGTGCAGAATGACTGTTGAGTGTGCTTTTGGCTGTTTAAAGGCCTGCTGGCACTGCCTATATGGGAGGCTCGATCTGGCCAATGACAATATTCTTATGCTTATAGCTCTGTGCTGTACGCTCCATATTTGTGAAGGGAAAGGTGAAAGCTTCACTCAGGGCTGGACTGCTGAGGCTCAGTGCCTGGAGGCTGAATTTGAACAGCCAGAGACCAGGGCTATTAGAGGGGCACAGTGGGGGCCATAAGGATCAGGGATGCCTTGAGGCAGCAATTTGAAGGTGAGAGACACTAATATTTGTTGCTATGCTCAGCAGCGTAGTGCTTGTAATGTTAGGAGATTATTGGGATTGGTGCAGACGATGCACTATGAAGGTTTAAGAAAATTGCCTGTTGCTCTGGAGGGCTCTGTTTGCTTTCAATTAATGGAATAAAGATTGCTTTCAAACCAAAACAATTCTTTTATTAAAAAACATCCACTGGAGGAGACAAACAAAAAACACATCAGTACGCAGGGGATGGGGGAAGGGAGGGTCTCAGGTCCTGAAACAGTTAAAGATTTGTGTATGTCCAGGTATCGTATCCAGCCTTCTCCTGTGGAGAAGTGCAGAGGGTACTGGGAGTCTGCAGAGCTGGACTGTGATGGGGCAGGAGTGGAATGCAGCAGGTACAGACTGGAGCCAGGAGGTGGATAAGTGTGTTGGTGGTGTCTGCATGGGAAAGAGTTTTGTGACAGAGGCTACAGGGGAGGGCGGGTGTGGATCTGCTCGGTTTGCAGTGCTATCAGCGCCTGGAGCATGTCCACTTGGCGCTCCATAACGTTTAAGAGCCACTCCGTGGCTTTGTTCTGGTGCGTCGCATTTCTCCTTTCAGTCCCTCTTCTCGCTGTCCCGCCATTCCTTGAATTCTTGTTTTTCGGCCACGGAGTGCATCATGACATCACGCAGAAAGTCCTCTTTCGGGGCTGCTTTCTAATTCTGCACAGCCATTCATCCAGCAATAACGAAGAGAGAGACTGGGCTCCCAAAGTCATCCATGAAGCCAAAATGCAACATTTTAAGGAAACAGTATTGTTTGCAACACAGAGACCACTGATTTAAACCACTGCCACTATTCACATACCTATCACTAACTAGCTAATCCCAGGCAAGCCCACATGAGCCCCAAAATGGTGAGTAACTGCAGGGGCAGGGGCAATAAGTGTTCCAGGACCATACTGTCCACTGGGCACGTGCCTCTTGGGAAGAGCCAGCACTGTAGTGGGGGCCTTATAATCATTACTGTCCCCACATTTTCAACAGGCTGTGTTCATTATGGAAGACATCTCGCTGCTGAGGGTGAGCAGGGAATCAAAGGAAGGTCTTCTCCAAGACTGTGGCTTCTGCCCATGTGCAGCAATGGTCTCCCCTCCCCCCCAGTGATGGCACAGTAGCGCGGGAAAGTTACCCTTAATGGGGCAAGAAACAAAGCAGCTCTGCCAAAGAACCTGTGGCAGTGGATCGCCCAGTATGTCCATGAGAGTTTCCTGGAGATCTCTGAGGCAGATTCCTGTGAAGTGAGGGAGTCAATCAACAGCCTGTTCCACCGCTCAGCCTACGCATATGGTGGTACGTGCATCATACAGACACAAGCCTGCTTTCTGCCACCCTCCTGCCCCCAACAACTCACTTCAGCGATTCCCAAAATCAAAGCCACTTACCAGGGTCCTCCTCTCGTGTTTGCGCTTCACTAAGATCTGACAGCTGTGCCTAGCTAGCCTTCTCCAGGGCAGAGAGGACCCCCTGGCTTCATGCATCTCTGATATTCGAGTCATCTTCTGCCTCTGTGTTCGTCTCCTCCTCATGGCTCGGTCCACTCTCGACTGGCATGCGAGCCACCGAAGTATCCACAGTGGTCTTCGCAGTGGAGGTGGGGTCGCCACCAAGTATCACGTCCAGCTCTTTGTAGAACTGTCAGCTCGTAGGCACAGCACCGGAACGGCGGTTTGCCTCCCGCACCGTGTGGTAGGCATTCCGCAGCTCCTGCACTGTAGTGTGTCCCAGTCATGGCCCCTTTCTGTCATGCCACATGAAATCTGTCCATAGATATCATAATTCTTATGGCTGGAGCGCAGCTAGAATTGGACAGCCTCCTCTCCCCAAATGCTGATGAGGTCCAGCAGCTCAGCATTGCTCCAAAAGGGGGGATTTGCCTGGTGCATGGAGCAGGCATGGCCACCTGGAAAGATGCTCTGAGACCACTGCACGGATCACTGAGCAAACAGGAAGGGGACTTTAAAAATTCCAAAGGAATTTACAGGGTAGTGATGACGGTTGGTCACCTGAGAGCAGGGCAGTAGAGTTCAAAGTGATGACTAGAGAGGTGAGAACAGGCATTGTGGGACACCTCCCGGAGGCCAGTTGCAGCACTGTAATTGACCAGGGTGTCTAAACTTGCACTGCAGCGCTGTACCCCTGGTGCAGAAAGCTGTACGCCTGGGGTGGTTTTTTTACAGCGCTGCAATTGCTCAGTTTCTGCGCACCAAGTGGCGTGGCAGCGTCTACACCTCGAGAGTTACAACACAGAAAGCTGCTTTATTGCGCAGAAACTTTCCAGTGGAGGCCTTAGTGACTTTTCCCAAGGTTGCACAGGAAGGCTGTGGGGGAACAGGGAAATGAACTGAGCTCTTCCAAGCCCCAGGCCTAGCATCCTAGGCACTAAAATTTGAGTTTTGGGAAGGGTGCTGAAGGTAGCAGTTAAGAAAAATGTCTTCATAACATCTACAAAAGGGTTGAAGAACGGCTGTTATGCAAGTCCATTGGCTGCTATACTCAATAACATTTTCATAATCCCCAAGTGCTTAGTCTTCCGCAAGGACTCATTAACAACTGTTGATGAAACCTACATTTTAAAATAAAGCCATTTTTAGTTAGAACTTGAAAAAAGAAGTCTGGAAATTTTTAAAATATTCTCTTTTCCCTTTCCATAACTCCAGAATGCTCTGACAGATTTACACCATGCATAGAAAACATAGAACACCTCCAAAATTGGCTGCTAAGTTGCATGCCACACCATGGGTCAGTCCAAAGCAGTTTGAAACTGGTAAGATGTTCACACCTTGTCTTAACCTCCCCCAGTTAGAGATTTATAATGGAAACATTGGAAACACTGGAAGGGTCAAAAGTGTTGCTTTCTGATGGTCTAGGAGCAGGGCTTGGACAGATTTATTAATGCTAGAAGTCTTTTTATTAAGCTACTGAGCTGTTTCTAGCCTGGGTAGTGGATGGTCAATGGATCAAAAATTGTAGGTCACCTAATTTATTAATATAATTTAAAATAATTTTGTCTGTTCAGCGACACCTCTCGAAATCACATTTAAAAGTTGTCTGTTTTTACTAACTTTGGGCTTTTGTGCCGTCTCTTGGATGTGGAAACAGGAGTTGTTTATGACCTTAGTACTAGCATGGGGTTCAAGGGCTTCTCAGACTTTGTTGAATGGGAGAATCACAGTGTAGGTACAAATAAAAACTTTCGAGTCAGTTACACTAGTGAAAACTCAGAGTAACTCCCCATTAGCTTCAGTGGAATTACTCTGGATTTACATCTGCATTTTGTAACTGGAAACAGTCATAGTGAAGAAATTATTTCATTAAAAGAGGCAACAGCCATGCTTTAATATATACAACACTAGTTTCTACTGTAGCTGTTCAAGATAATAAAAAGCATATGAGAATTGAAGTGGGGAAGGATGGTATTAGGAATGCTGTGATTTCAAGGAAAGGTATTTTTTGCAGTCTATTTATTTTTGTGGTCTGGTATTTTTGTAGTGCAGGGATATAGACAAGAGCTTTATACAGCCTTAATCCGAGCCTTAAAAATGGTATTCATTTCTAGCTCAGATCATTCATGGAATATAGAAAAATAGGGATTAGAAATGGAAAAGACCTACAGTGTTTGGTTATCTGTCCACATTTGCCTGCCAGCGCAGAATTGTGGCTCACAGCCTGTTTTCTAACACTTTGTCCAGTCTAGCTTTACAAGTCCCAAATGCTGTGGTTTTCACCACTTCCCTTGGGAGACTAGTTCATAGTTTAATAGATCTCACTGTAAAGAAGTTCCCCCCTCTATTAATTAGCCAATAAAAATGTTACTGGTTCTTCATTCCAGCAGTCCTTTTCTAGTATAGGCAGAATGTAATGTAGCCAGCCTCAGGCCTGAGACAAATGTAATTATGAGCCCATGACTAGAGCATTGCTGCCCATTGTTATTCAACATTCAAATGTTAGATCTTATGGCAATTCTTACAGGGAAGCCATAACCATAAGAAGGGGAAAAAGGGGGTAGGGGAAGAGGAGAGAGGTAGAAAGAGGGAAGAGAGCAACCTCATATCAAACATCCTGAAAACTTTAGTAACATTGAGGCCTAGCTCCAGGCTTTGCACTGTGAACCCAGATCTAGTTTCATGTACCCCATTCCCCAGTACCTTGTCCACAAAGTTGGGTTCAATAACATTTTGTTTTTCGTTTTCATCAGCTCCTTCAATGGTGACAAAGAAAATGTTGATTCCAGATTCTCTTGCCAGTCTGGAGGCCTCCTCCACCTTATCAGTGGGCCATCCATCCACCAGCACTATGGCCACATTGGGTGCTCCACCTCGGTTTCCATTGGTATCCAAAAAGAAGTTTTTGTTAACAAATGAAAGTGCCTTCCCTGTAAGAGAAATGAATGGGAGGATGTTGTATCCTAGTTACAGTAACCAGTCTCTTTAGACAGTGCAACACTGAGGTCAAATTCCAGGCCTAGAGCACAGGGAAAGGGGTGCATTAGCAAAAACAGAGTGGAGGCAACTTGCCATGGCTACACAAACAGGAAGGGGAACCACCTGCAATGGTCCAAGTTTATACCCTACCCTGGTTCTAACAGAGGTGCAAACTTCACCCTTTCTCTGCTCCTCATTAGCACTGATAAGCAAAGAGAGCACCAGGCTCAGATGTGCCAGGGGAGCTGCTGCTGAGGTTGAAGGAGAAGAGCGACTCCCCACAACTCTCAACTTTCCTAAAAACCAAACCAAGGCAGGAGCGCTGGGAACTAGAATAAAAAAAAAGAATTAAAAAAATAAAATCTTTTACATAAGGTGGGCTCAAAATCTCACCGACTAATGCACATAAGTTATCATTAAAAAGTCTTTGCTAGCTCCTTTCTCCCCAGATCAGTGCAATGGAGGGAGCAGAGAAGTTCTAATACCCTTGCTAGTCTGATGGCAATATACCCATCAGAGGGTGCCCGAGGCATGCTCCTGAGCATGAGGTCATCAGCTGCCAAGGCTGGTTCCATGGTGCTGCAAGGAGCTTATTTGCCCACTAGAACTAGGATCTCACATCCCACAGTCTTCCTCGGGCTAAGGAACTGCGGATATGCTACTCCCACGCCACATACCAACATTGGAACGCCCTCCTTTCTGTGGAATTTTCTCAATGGCATTTTTCACATCCCTGGAGTTTGCATGAGTTTTGAGGTTAAATTCTGTAGAAGGGTCATCGCTAACATGTAAAAAAGAAAAAAAAGTAGCTATCAGTTTTTTTCCCCACATGTAGCATGGTTCCATTTATAATCGCTTTAGTAATGCTCCATGGGGAAGGAAGAGGAAGACTCATCACGTAAGGCAGTTCACTACATAATAACAGAGGAGACCCTTAAAAGGAAGTCTCTAGTGTTTTCTATATAAACATGTCGGTATACCTGTAAAACACAAATGATAAAGTAACAGGCATTAGTGAAGACATGCCAATGGAATCTTAAAAGTTTCTTTGGCAGTGGACATCTCTGAATTCATTTAGTAGAGCAGTGGTTTTCAACCTGTGGTCCACAGCCCCCTGGTGGGAGGTAGGGGTGGGGAGAAAGGCCGGTAAATTGGTCTAAGATTTCCAAATGGGTCCGCACCCCCATTCAAAAAATTTTAGGGGTCAGCAAATGAAAAAAGGTTGAAAACCACTGTAGTAGAGGCTACTAGCTTGCCTGTGGTAATGGTGTAACAGAGTCTTCGTTATATGAATTACAGGGCTTCTCTCGTTTGAAAGCTATTTTTAGATAACTTTACAACATGTATTTAAAAAAAAGAGCTTGGTGTGTAATTTTGTTTCACCTTTTAGCACTGTGCTGCTATTGGTATGTAAATTGAACTTCAAAATCTATATTGTACAAGTCTCAGTTTATGAGGCTACTTAAGAAAACCCCCTCATTTATTTCAGTGGTTTTTATAACATTGTTATTAGTTAGCAGAAAAAGATTAAAGACATTTAAGGCTAGAAGGGACCATTATGATCATCTAGTCTGACCTCCAGCATCTTGTTTACTTCTGTCTATGTTCAATCTTTGAAGATAACCAAGTAGATTTTTCCCATAGACATTTTTATTCAGTCTCATAATATCCCAAATATGTTGTTCTCCAAGTTTCCAAAGTTGAATTTTAGATAGTTTCTCATTTAGAATAGATGTGGTGTAAAAATAAGAAGTGATCACTCCAAAATGAGTTGGGAACAGTGTAGTAGTGACCCTGTACAGACTGAGGTAGAGCCAGATGTTACGGGGAGACTCTCTTACCCATACTGAACAATGCCCATGAGAGGACCAGCTACGCCAACATCAAGAGCTTGAGCCACATCACTGAGGAATTGTTTTTGGATCTGAAAACGGCGTTTACCGATGCTCCAGCTCCCATCAATCAAGAAGGACAAATCAACTTTGCAGTCTGAGACAGGAAATAATAATGAGAGACTAAAGATCTGTGAAGGGTATTTTTGTTGTTTCTTAGATTTGATTTTCCTCTGACAGGAAATCAGGGCATCAACGTTATAGCTGACAACCTATCCCACTATGTGACCACAGCAGAAAATTCTCATTCCTATTCATTTTCAAAGGATTATTATATCATCCACCCTGACCTCTTCTATAACACAGGCAAGAGAATTTCACTCAGTGATGACTGTATTGGACCCAAAAACTATAACAGACATGGCATACAACTTTGATCATTAATCCTACTCACCAGATTCAGGGAAATCCATCAATCTGCTAAAACCCCGAGTCTGAAATTCCGGCTCCACTGAAGAAAATGGCAAAACTCCTATTTATTTCAATAGGACTAGGATTTCACCCAGAATATTTAGGCTTTGCAGGTGAAGTACAGGGTGGCTGAGAAGGTGCAATCTATATCCCCCCAATGAAGGGCCAGTAAGTGGGGTGCTGTATAGTACTGTCCCTGGCTGCTAGTCTACGGGCAGGAATAGCCACTGCAGGGCTTCTGTGCCTGTTGCTCTATGGTGGGGCCACTGAATCTGAATTACTGGAGGTCTCATGCCTCCCCAGCCTGCTGCATTGTGAAGAGGTAACACCACTGAACAAATTGTGGTTTTCTCTGTGTAGCTACTTGAGCGGGGGAGGCCTTTCTTCAAGTGGCTACTGAAAGCAACTCCTAGTAATGTTGCTTGCTATAGCACTAGAGCAGTGGCTCTCAACCTTTCCAGACGACTGGACCCATTTCAGGAGTTTGATTTGTCTTGTGTATCCCAAGTTTCACCTCACTTAAAAACTACTTGCTTACAAAATCAGAAACAAAAATACAGAAGTGTCACAGCACACTATGACTGAAAAATGGCTGACTTTCTCACCATATCATTATAAAATAAATCAAATGAAATATCAATATTGTACTTACATTTCAGTGTATAGTATATGGAGCAGTATAAACAAGTCATTGTCTGCATGAAATTTTAGTTTGTACGGACTTTGCTTGTACTTTTGCTGTAGCCTGTTGTAAAACTAGGCAAATATCTAGATGAGTTGATGTGCCCCCTGGAAAACCTCTGTGTACCCCCAGGGGTACATGTACCCCTGGTTGAGAACCCCTGCACTAAAGTCTTTTATATCGGAACTGTTCAGTGATTACTCTGATTGGTGTGTAATTAATTCCGAGACCGATAATCTCATGTGGTGTCTTCAGATTTAGTGTAGATGCTTTTAAACTGAACTATAGACTCTTACATGGATCTATGCAAGCCCACATACCTTACTGTACAGAAAAGCCAAGCTTATCCCAAAACAAAAATTGCACAAAAGTGCTTGATCCATAATACTCTGCAAATGATCTCTTCGTCATTAACAGCATGATCTTGTTTCTATTCCAGTCAATGGCAAAACACTCATTGATTTGAATGGAACCAAAATTTGGTTTAACTAGAGTGCTAATTAAGCTTTTTTGCCTCAACGTAAGCCCCATAATTTCTCTTTGATGTTACTTCCTACCAGTCAGACTGACCAAGACTGGTGTATTTTAATTATCAAATAACCAAAAGGCTACAAAGCACTGATTGTTCCTATCTGATCATGCAACAGACTTTCCATCTAATTGCTTTCAGTTTTCCCCTTAGGGAAAACTTTTCTAAATTTCAAAAATGCTGAATTATGGACGCATGACAGGGGAACTGTGTTCGTTCATAGGGAACCATGGGGCACGGCTGGAGCTTCCAATAATGCTACCTTAATAAAGGACCACATTATCCCGAATTCCTGCTCCTTAATGTGAAATTCTACCCTGTAATGTGACTGTGTAAAATGGTACTCTCTTACCTATCAGGGCCCTGACTGCAAAGATTTATGCACATGCTTAGTTTTGCATGCAAACTGTGAGAAGTCCCTTTGTCTTCTATAAGACTATTTACAGCATGAAACTTAAGCACGTGTACCTCTTTGCAAGACGGGGAGCCCAAATCTGCTCCCTATGGATTCAAATACTTCCAAGGTTAGATTTGAATTTGGTTTATCTCTACTATGGAGCTGAGCATGAGAAAGGAACCAGAGTGGGCTAGAACTGTCGGGCAGCATTAGAGTCCATGGGATAAGAGTTTTGATACCTGCTATTTCATTTTACTTTGCAATTGTCTAATTAAACTGTGATACTTTTAAATCTCTGTTCAGCTGCTAATTCCTCACAGCCAAGGGCAACACATTGAACCTAAATAATTTTGTAGTGAGCCTCCCTAATTACGGTGACAGGATAAAATATGTCTAACATTCAAAGACATGGTATTAAAATTAATTCAGTATTAGACTATTGGGGATTATGGGGCCATTCCGTTTAATATTTAATTTATTTAATATCCCTTTTAAATGCTGTTCATAGTGACGCCCAAATTTCCATTTGCTGCAGAATTTGGTACTGACCGTGTACAGCTGAATTGCCACAACTGTCAGTACTGTGAGGGGAGAGCTGGGGGATGTGGTAGCTCAGAGAAGGGCTTCCGTCAAAGGGGAATCTCTTCTCCCTACTCAGGGCTTGCTTTCTTTTTCTCTCACTCTTCATTTTTAGGCCTGATCCAAAGCCTGTGGAAGTCAGTGGGATAATCCCTCATTCACTTCAATGGGCTCTGAGCCATGCCTGTTGTGAGAAGAGGGCCCTCCCACCTCCTTCTAATAAGGGGTGAGGGCTTCTAGATGCTCTCTCTCTACTAGGTACCAGCCGTACCTAGTAAGTCTCTCTCCCTTTACTGCTGTGACCGCTGGGCCCATATTCTGAGTGATTCCCTCTTCCCTCCATTAGAACTGCTGCCAAGCCAGTAGAGCCCCAATGCCAGGAGCCAGGCCTGCTCAATCAGTTATCCCAGATAAAGGGAGTGCTCCTGTTATCAGTGCCCAGTTGCCTAGGTCTTATCCCAGGCACAGCAAATACAGGGCATTAGTTAATAAGCTCCCCCCTGGCAGGATCCAAATTCTGTGTCTGATGGCATATTGCAAAGCCATGGCCTTTGGACTGTAGAATTCACACGATCCTCCGTATAATATTTAAAACAGCCAACATCTCACTCACGCTTCCCAGCTCAGGTAGACAGATGCAGACTAGCTCTTCTTGAGCAAGCTAAAAGCCGCAGTGTAGCCAGAGGTAGCACAGGCCATGGCTCAGACTAGCCGCCCAAGTATGTACCATGGGGGTCCGGGAGGGTTTGTACTCAGGTGGCTAGTCCAAGGTGCTATCTGTGCTACTCTCAGCGATGCTGCTATTTTAGCATGCTAGCTCAGGCAGAGCTTGTACGTGTCTGTCTACCCACACTGGGAAGCAGGCAATGTAGATGTACCCTTTGCTTTGAGTAAGTTAAGAGTCTGTTGCTATTGTTTTCCTTAAGGTAGAAACAATTATTATTTAGAGTAGATGAGAGACATGGCAAATGGCTAAACAGAAACTGTTAAGGAGGTCTAGGTTATTCTATTGTAAAGGAATATATGTTCCAAAAATGTTTTTTCCCTAATAGCTAATGTTTAGTGAATTTCTTGACTATAGTCTCAAAAGTACGATTCTCATAACAGCACGAGATTATTATGACTTAATTATATAATTAATTCTGATTTACGTACTTGGGTTTCCCTGGGAAACTGGCTCCAAAGGTTTCGGATTCAATTCTTCCTTTGAACTGAAGCCTGGAGAAATTAAAAAAATGTTTAGTCACTAAATGTGCAAGTAACTGTTCTGAGTCTGACTTCACTGAAGAAGGTAATGAGTGAACAGATGCATCTTCTTCCACATATGAATAAGGAGATGGGTCTGAAAGAGATTTGTGCCACCTTTTGTTATTTTGGTCAGGTGACATGTAAAACAATGCATCCCTGGGACATAGGGACATGTTGCTTGTCTCCACTCCTGTTACTGAATAGAAAAGGAAAGGATTGGGATCAGGTTATTGTAACTACTTCACATTGACCTTACACTAGGTCTTAGTTCTTTGCTTAAGGGAGATGTCCATCTACTCATCCCGAAATCTTCTAATCAGAGGAGAACTATTAAACCAAGGTGCCGGTCATATTCCATGTCTAAAACTGATGGGGAGAAGACTTAAAAATACAACAACACATGGCTATTTCCAATTTTTTTTTACACATTCACTCTAAGGCTAAATCTGCTCCTAAAGTCTGAGAAAATATATATGGCATAAAGACTGGAGAAACGGTTATCGTTTTGTATCCTATCCTGGTACCTCCAGATGGTTCAGAGCAGGGCTCATCTAAAAGGTTTGCTATCCAGCAGCCAAATCTGGTGGTTCAGACTTTTCTGAGTTCCTCTTCTGAGCACAGTTCTATTTTGTGTTGTTTGCTAGAGGTACTAAATTTGGCTTTTCCGATAGTACCAGCCTCAATGAGATGAATTAAACAGGTGATCTGTTTATGACACAAACACTTCTGGAATCTCTCTCAGAAGGTAGTTCTTACTACAGCTCTCAAATTTGCTGCAAAGATTAATTCAAAATTTTCATTCGAATCTGTATATTTCACTTTCTTCCCTTTGCTGAAAACCACAGCAAGCAAAGGAAGGGTTACTATACTGACTGGATGTTAGAAGGGAAGGGAAATAAAGTGAGAAATTGAGAGTTGATTCTCCACTGCCTTGCACCTTCATTTACCCGTTTAAAATGAAAGTGAAAGAACCATTCTGACTTACTAGCAGCTTACATGTCTTTTGCACGGGTGTAAATGACTACACAAGGTTTCGAGGCAGTGGAGAGTCAGGCCACTCGTGTCCTGTTTTCCTATATGGAGATAGGAGCAAGGACAATGAGCATCCTACCACATTATATCCAGGTAAGCGAAGCAAGTCATTAAGGAGGTCTTCAGGTTTTTTCTAAGAGAGTTAGGTTCTTCTGCTGGGGGAAGAGAGAAAAAGTAAGGCCTGTTCCAGACCCTACTGAAATCAATGGAAAGATTCCCAGGGCCAAAATGTGGAATCGGAAAAGGAGCAGCCTGAATGTCTGTTTATCCCTTCATAAGACAAACTAAAATAGATATGGCCTGGGGAAGTAGTATTGGATCACAGAGTATTGTAGGAGCAGCAGAAGGATGATTAAAAGAGTTCAACCTGACTTCAGTTCACAATTTTAATGTCTGTCCATTTTTTCCCCAAGTTAAAGCAACTCACTTCTGCCTAAGTGTAAGAAGCTATTTCTTCTCACATGAATAGGACAAGATATGGGAAGATCAGCTGGGACAATACTGCAAATAAAGGAAAAAACCTACCTACGTAGGAGGATAATTCTGTTTTGTTTCCTTAAGAGACAGTGAACCGGTTATTATACTTGTCTATCACTGAGACAAGTAGTAGGAGAACCCCCACAAATCTTCACCAGCAGGCAAACGGAGGAAATACTGCAGACTTCAAAAGGAAACCAGCAAGACGGTAGCATTAAAAGTGTGAATTAATTACAGGCAAAAGTTTAGAAATTATAAAGTGCTTCATGGTTCCTCTTTCCTGTAAAGCTGCCAGCCACCCACAAATTAACTCGTGTCAGTGTGAACGTACGTAAAGAGAGCAGATAATCAAGAATATCAGAGGAAGCTATCTCTGAGCTCTGAAGGGAACTGGCAGAGCTTCAACTTCCTGGAGTATCTAAGGTGAACCCTGCAGGGAAGATAGACCCAAGCCAAGAGGAAGAGGAGAAGCCAACAGCACTCCGTAGCTACAGACCAATTCCTGGTCCCATGCTATTCTGATAACTAATCTTCACAAAGTACTAGCACTTCATACACTCCAAGCACTTGCACCCACATAAACATGGACCTTTGGGGCAGGAACCATCTTGTCATTCTGTTCTGCACACAGTGCTTAGCACAATGGGGTCCTGACCCCTGGCTAGGGTCTCTCCATGCTATCATGTTACAAATAATTATTGTTAATAGAAATAATAATCATTATTAGTCTTAGCTGGGGAAATGTGTCTCAGTTTTAAATCCAACTCCCAGTTAGGAAGGCAGCTTCCAACATATGAACTAAAATGACCAGACTGCTGCTGGCTCCACATACGCGTAAGATGGGGGAAAAAGGTACAAAGCTCATTCCCTCTTCCCTTATGCTCCTGTGGAGGGGCCAGCCCTAGCACAAGGGGAAGCAGAGCCATTTCCCCCGACAGAGCCAGCCGTTGTGCTAGCCTCCCCAAATGCGGCTGGATGCAGGGTGTGGCTCTGCATAGCGGAGTGGGACAGACACACAGGGGAGCACACACAGCATTCATTTGATTTGAAAGGTGGCACAGCTGCTGCTCCAATATATGTTCCTTGGGAGCTGTAGAAGAGGTTGTGACTGAGTTAGCTGGATTCCTCCCTAGGCCCTCTCCTACTGCAACAGGGTCTTTTCTACACCGTTAGAACAAAAAGTACTGACAGAGGGCAGGAGGCTTGCATCTCCCCTGTTCTGGGGCTGCCAGGAGCTGGCTAAACTCCCAGCACAGGTTAGGACAACTCTCAGGTGCTATCTTCACTTGAACCCTTGTTGCAATGGTCCCACTACAGGCACACAGCGTACCATACAACCTTTTCTGGGGGGGGGAAGGGGGATGTTCTCCTACAGGTGCAGCTCTACCTCCCCACTTTCTGACAGGACCAACTCTCAGACAAAAATCCTTCCTGAAACATATACCATCCACCCATAGCCTGTCCTTGCACCAGAAAGGCCTCCCCAAAGTAGCCTGGACCTAGAAGAGCCAGCCCTTTGTCTTGTGAAACAAGGAGGGCCATGCCCAGCTTTTTGTTCTTGTGCTGTACTGTGACTGGCAGTTGTGAGCTGTTAATATTATCTCTGACCAGCCCTCCCACGCCAGACTGTAGAATCCATGAACTAGAGGACAGCAAACAGAGAGGAAAATGCTTTTGTTGCATCAGGGAGACACTCAACACACAGTAGACCAAGATAACTTAATAACAGGAACATATTCATTAACATAAAACCCGTCGTGTGGCCTGCTTCCTGCCTTAGCTCATTCTGATTAACCACAGCTGCAGCAAGAGCACCACCAGACCAAAGAGGGAGAAATACTGACAGGCCTCAGAGGGGTCAGGTTCTAAAAGAAACCGATATCAAAGCGATATACTCCACTAGAGCCAATTCTAGTCTGGATAGGCATTCCCTGTAGTTGCCTGGTCCTCTTGCAGAGAGCCCTAGCTGCTGCATTTCTGAGCTGATTTTTGCATGCTTGCATGCACCTGTGCCATTTTTAAATAGGCAGGAACTGAGAGGGACAATGCAATGTTACAGAAGAGCAAAACTGAGCCCTGTGTTATGCTGCAAGTTTTACGTTTTTCCCACCTGTGCTGTTCATAAGCCTCTTTATTAAAAAGAGAGATTTCCCATATAAAGCTGCAACTGACAACAAATGCTCTTCCACTTGCTCCTTTTGTTTCTTCCTGGTAACCAGTACTAAATATGTATCCCCTAATTAGCTCACTACTCTCATGACACACAGCGGGCTCTGTAGTCATAACCATCTTCGCACAAGAATTTTAAAATAAAATCGACCAAATCCATTCACAAACTCAGACTGTTATTCCTGTTTCACTGTTTTCCCTCTGCCCAGTGGTAGCAGGGCCTTGCAGGTCACTCTCTCCGTGACAAAGAGTCTGTGTAACTTGTTTTATTGACACCAGGGATGGCACAGGGATAGTCAAACAACAATAGGCAAGCCCTTCTTTCAGAAATCTTGGCTCAACACTAATGCCTCATTCTTAGGAACAAATAAGCCTCAAGAATTGACTCCAATCAGAGACCAAACTCCGCTGCTGCTGGCGCAAGCTTGCTCTATCCAGAAGATTGCATAACCAACAACAACACAGCATGTCTGCCAAGACTTAACATTTGCTCTCACACTAACAAAAAACTACTTGGACGTTCACGTTTAACAGCACAACCTGGTGACTGTGCCATAACAATCACTAATAGATCTCAGTCCAAAATATCTAATATGGGAGGATGGGAAGGATCTCCATAGTTACAGAAGGAGGGCCAAAACCTACTCACTGGTCTAAGGGGAGCTATGGGACAAAAAGTCTGATGGGAACAAAGAAGCTGCTTCCAACTCTCCTCCGGGTAGGGTTGCCAATTTTGGTTGGATGTATTCCTGGAACTTGGATCACATAACATAAGTGTTGTTAAAAGATTAATCTCTAACTCCTGGAGACTCCAGGACAATCCTGGAGGGCTGGCAACTCTACATACAGGAAATACCTAAGGGTGCAAGGAACCTGATCCTCCTCTAGACAAAGGATCAGTTTGAGAGCCCTGGTTGTATCTCTTCTTACTACTTTCCCCCTTGACCAGCCTTATCTTGAGTCACCTGTGGAAAAGAGAGGAGTAGGTGTCAGGGACATGATGCCAAGGTAAGGAAAAGGTCTGGAGAAATACATCCATTCCCTGGGAAAGGAATCAGCCATTCAAGCAGGGACTAGTGGTAGCTGACTGGTAGCATATCTGATCCTCAGCCTCAAGCAGTGACATGTTCCCTGTGCCTTTGGGTAGGTCTGCATGTGTCTGCATCTTTCTTTGGAATTGGCCCTCAGGCCTAGTCTACCCCACATGCCTCTGGTTTTCCATCAGTATGCTCCCCCATCAGCTGTAGGGTCTGTTTTTGACCCGGGTCCCATAAGCATACAAGGCTTGGTTC